TACTACCATCAAAATATGCCACAAGGCAAAATACACCACCAAGGCTAATGGTAATACGCCACAAAGGCAAATACACATGATTTAGGCAAAATGTGCCACTAAGGCAGAATGCGCCACTACATAATGCATTTTGCTTACATGTACAAGGTGACTGACTAGCCATTAAGGCAGTCTACTCAAACACAATGAATTTTTGGAACTCACTAGAAAGTAATTTAATGATAGCAAACCCTCCTCCAAAATAAAGTTTAATCCATCGTTTCGCTAACATCCAGCGTCAGCTCTTGCTTCTAGCTAGATGCGCTAAAAACATCGTATCTGTTAAATGCTCATCAGGTAGCCACGCTCATGTGCAAGGTAGTCATGCCCACAATAGCCACACATCTTGGGCACTAGCATAGAAAGTGTCTCCGTGCCGTTCACGTATCAAACTGGGATAGACATCGGTAGAAACCTTGCGTAGTACTTAAATGCCACTTATGAAGGGTTCTAGATATGTGGCCTCCATCGTTGCCTGTAGTCGATTGCCGTACTACTGCAGTCCAAAGTCATGAAGCTGCCTGAGAGTCTAAAATACTCCCCCCAAAATTAACACTTGTCAGACAAGCAAATGGGGAGAGTAAACCGCTAAAGCCTGAAGAGCAAAGCTCTGGTAAAATAGAGAGCTTGCTGAAATAGACCACTGGCAACCAAGACAGCAAAAATGACTGACCTAGGGGAGTTGGGTGAGGCACTCACATATGCACCTCAACTCAGGCTACTGCCTCACACTCCAATGCACATGATCAAAAGGCCACATCCAATAAGCCTTTTGCCAGTTAACTTTGACCCAAATCTGATACTCTGAGTTCTTTAAATTCACGTGAACATAACAACTTGAATTCTCCTTACTAAACCCACTGTTGCTATACCTCGTGATTCAGGGCAAGCTTTTCCTTAGTTACATAAAAGACGCCTTGCAACAATCCACTGTTCTCAATGGATAAGGAGGGCATAAAGGAACCAGTCCATTCCAGAGATGGTGGTCGCTGTGCGAAAGCTTGCCCCGAATCACGAGGTAGAGCAACAGTGTTTTTAGTCTGGGGATTCAAACTGTTATATGTTTGTGTGCAGTCAGATAACTCCAGATTTTATTCAGTTGAAAATGAAAATGGCTTATTATACACATTCCACTGGCATTGTGTGTATCTACACTCTGGAGTCTAAGCTACAGGATCCACATTCTAGAGCCCTCTATATGACTTCAAATGCAAATTAGTAAACTCTCAACTTATAAATATTCAACACTTGCAAATGTACAAAGTAAAAGTGCAACAAACTTCTATGACAGTAAATAAATTGAAGAAAAAAAAACATTTTATTTAATAAAAGATAGTCTGGCTTGAATTTGACATGCCTTATTTCGAAAGTCGAAACTTCTGGCCAAAATAATGCCATCTGCAAGGTTGGACCAGGGCTTGCAAGTCATTGGCTGTGAGGTAAATCAATGGAGTACTCACTGGATTATCATCATGAGTTCACCAGGTTTTTTGGATTTTGGGTCCTTATAGTAACACGTTCTAATCTGTCTGTTCCTCCCTAACTCCTGCTCTCCAACCCCTCCCCCCCCCATATGCCACCCCCAGCACGGCACCAGGCAGTAGACTACCCTTCCTCGCATCGCCGGCGGTAGCGGGTGCCAACACAGGCACCACCAGTGGCCACATACGTTTCCCGCGGGGCGCCGTCAACCGCAACACCTTCCACGGTGGTCAGGTGCGGAGACACCCCATGTTCAACGGTCCCAACGCCTCACCTGGCATGTCGGACAGCATGGAGAGGAACCGCAACTCCATGTCCTTCTTTGGCAAGCTGTCATCAAAGTTTGCCAGGAGGTACGTATCGTGCCTTGGTGTCTGTCCACCGTGAATTTCTCAGTGTGTCAGTGTATGTATGATAGTACATGTCAGTTTTCCTTGTTTTCATCAGGGTTAGATATTTACTGAAGGTTCTCTCTCTGAGCACAGGAAGTGGTTTGTTAATAGCAAAGGCTTGAAGCATTTTATTTCATTTTAATTTTGTTCATCATGAGCATATTGACAGCAATTTGTTTTCCAATTTTCTGCTGGCCTTTTCATTTCAAAGCCTAATTTTTGGCTCGACATTTCTTTGAAAATATTTTTGTTTCCTCACTGTTTTTCCAGTCTGCCCGATTAAGGCTTAACAAAAATCCTCATTTTACTTTCTGCTACATCTTAGTCTTTCTCTTCTCATGTCATTTATTTTTCATCTTAACTTGTTTGGTAGAACCAGCCTTTGTTGTTAGTTGTCATGAAATAAACCAAGGAGAAACTGAGTAGACATCCCTTTAACTTTTTATGTTGGAAACAAAAAACAAAGTAGGATCTGATTTGCAACATTTAAATAGATGCATTACCACCAGAGCTGTTGAGCCTTAATACAGGAAAATGTTCTTTCTTATCTTTGATCAAAAGTATCAGCACTTTAAGCTTTCTTTCAAAACTTGCTGTTGAAGATGCAGTGCATCATCTCCGAATAGCATAAGAGCCACTTGGAAAAACTGTAGCATTCAATTGCTAAAAGTAGTCTGATACTTTGCTGATTTTGTCTACATCCAGTGACCTCAGAACATTACTTTTTCCTTTCACTAAAAAGCGTTCTAGAAATACTTCTGATAGCTGGAATGTAACTTAAGATCTCAGTACACAGTGTCAAAACTATATATATTTTGTGCAACACAGACTGACAAGGTTGAATTCTTAATCTGTGTCCTCATTTGTGATACTTTTTACTTCGGCTAGTGTTGCGTTAATACGTTGTCGAATTTTGTCTGTTTAATTTTCTTAAGTTTTTGAGGTATTGTGATCTGTCCAGTACCTTCCAAAGTGCACGGCATCACCATGGCTGTACGCTTCCATGCACATTACTAACTTGCATGACGTTGTATTCTCTCTACAATGGGTGATGCTCAGTTGATTTAAAGAATTCTTCAGTCGACACTGTATGCGACTGAATAAGTGATGTCTGCTACATACCAGCAGATCTTGCCTTATTTTTTATAATCATGTTAGAGTACCCAGTCGCATGTTGGTCAGGTTCCCTGACTTTAACTCCTGACTTACATGTATGTTGTTAAGGTTGTATTCTAGTTCACCAAATCGTTTTGTCACACAGATCTTCAAGAGTTGCTGCGAGAAGGCTTTAGACTTCTGATACAGAAGTGTTCCGACCTCTGACAAGGACTAGTGCAAATCTTTATTTATTGCCAATTATCGGTTCAGAGTGCCAAGCCCATGAACAGCCATGACCACTCATTCCATTCATTCCTAACTTGTAATGCACTAACTCGTGTTGATACTGTACCCCATTAACAACCCAGCACATTTAACAAGCGCATGTTAATCCAACTAGCCCAGGACACAGAAAAACATGTTTGTTTTGGGTTTTTTTTTTAACACTTTGTACTCTTTTGGCCCTGAGTCGTCCTTAGGATCAACTTTTTTTCCGTCTCTTCTGAGTGAGCAATAAAAGAGTCCGTTGCCAAAGTGATTGTAGTAACTGTAGCCTTGGCATTGGGGTTTTTTCCTGATGCAGGGCGCCCTCTAACTACAGTGACCTTGGAGTAGATTACCCTCCAGATCTACCGCCCCAATCCAGGCCTCCTACTGGTGTCAGGTAAACATGAATATTCATCAGTCACATTTAAGATTGTGCATTGCCTTTGGATTTGGAATGAATATTCGCTCATTGTGAATATTCACTATTTCAAGCAGGAACAAAAATTCAATATCTTTGGCTGTATGTTTGATATTTCTTCTACTGCAATGGTTGCTGTGATTAGACCTGAATATTCAGTTAGCCTAATTTTTAATAATTCATGTTTTTCTTCAAGGAGTTTTGAATATTCATGAGCTTGCTTATTAGGCTTGTTTATGGTGGACTTCCCTCTATCTTGAGACATATGTCTCTTTTTCCTTACAACCCAAACTCCATTTTGCATCTTCTGCAAAATTTCTTCTCTCCCCTCCCCTCCCCCATCTTTCAATTTGCATCAAGAAATACTGTAACTCCCTAAAAATCCATCTTAAGATTCAACGCATCCCTGTTTAAACATTTCTCACATTTTAAAACTGAAAGACACCTGCCCAAATCCACTAGCATTTTGCCATGTCTGCCATTTTTCAAGACTGATAATAACAGAATAATAATGACCATTATCTTGTGTGTATTTCTTGCTATTCATCCCGTTCATTGTCATCAGTGCTGGCAATTTATCAAGGTAATCCCAACACACGCACTGCGCTTTCATTGTGCCCATGTAACCTTCACCGTTTTTTATCTCTCCTTTGTTCAAAATATATTCTGTTGAAGTTTGATTTCTTGACAGAAGTCTCATGCTCTCTCTGTAGATGTACATTTTTTTTCATGTAGATTGTTGACACTTTGTGTAGAGTTTATCCTCACTCACATGCAATCTTTTTCCTTTCTTTTTATTTTAAAGAATAGTAGATTGTGTTGTGCTTGTTAATTGTTTTATATTCGAAACAAAAAAAACGTATTTGAAAAGTTGATGATATACATGTAAATTGGCTCTCTGTCAGGGATGCTAAGTTTATATAAGGGTTTGCCGTTAAACCAATGTATGTATTCACGATGTGGTCTGAGAGTTGCAAAAAATCACAACCTTGCTCTGGTGGAATTCGAACCCAAGACATCCTACTTACTAGTGCAGTGGCTCTATCACTTGACCACTGACTTTGTTGGGATCAGGTGGCCTGGCTGGAATCCAATGGAGCAGTGGATTTAGCAAGTAGCCAGTGATATCAAAGTCATGGGTTCGAACCCCACCCCAGCAAGCTTGTCTTTTTTTTTCGGGTTTTTTTTGGTGCAACTCTCAGACCTTACTCAGAATAGTGTGACTACATACATCAATGTAAGGACAATACCTGTTTCATGTATGAAATCAGTACATCTAACATTAAGCACTGCAAAATAAATGGAACCCAGAAAGATTTATAGCCGTCTGGAAAATCTTCTTTTTTTTGGTAATTATCCTCCGTAACTAAAAATTACAGCCAGTTAACTTTTTCTGGTTGTTGACAACAAAGTGTGTTCTGGAACTGGAAGAAGGGAGTATGCCATATGAATGGGAGCTGAGTACTAGAGGTGGAAACATTGCCCAAAATAGTGTTTGTTGTGTGGTTACTATATGATTTATGAATCATGAATCAAGAATAAATCGAAGAGCACTGAGTAGCCAACCAGATATGTAAAGAGTGGCTTTTCGATAATGGGACTTTTTTTAGTTTCAGCAGCAATTTATAAAACTGTTCGTTAGTTTGAATTGTGTTCAAATGTGAAATAGAATGTACTTAACCGCATGATGCTGTATGGATGGTGTGAAGCAAAGAACCCAAGCCAAGCTTGCATGTGTTGTTAAGCATCACCTGGTGTTACGTTGTCGAGCCATGCTTTTTTGTCCCCGTTTCTTGTTTTTTTCTTAGTCTAACACTGCGGCATTAGCCCAGTTGTTAATCCCTGCTGGGAATATTCATTGATACTAGATGTTGTCTTGTTCCCAGTATTAGTTTGTCATTTGAATCAGCTTTAAATAGTCAACTTATTCCACTTGTAATGTCAGCTTAAGCTGAGTAACACTTGGGTGTGAGAATTTAGCTTTTCAGCAGATTTTAAGTGTTGGGTTAGATTTTTATTTTGAATTTCAGCTTTTTGAACATGTGCAATTTACAAAATTGTTTGAACTTTTTTCATTTTAGCTTTTTGCTAACTGTTTTTACTTTTTTTGTATGCTGCCATTCAAACCCCTGTGAATTGAAAGGGTGTTTCATTCTTTAGTTTTGCTCCAAGATTAAATAGGGCTTTATTGTGGGAACTGTAAAAATGACTTTTTCTCAACCATGACGCTGAACTAACACGTAAGGCTCTTCATGTTGCTGACGTTAGTTCAGAGTTACTGTCACATGGGTATGTGAGGTTGTAGAACATAGAGTTGAGTAAAGTATTTGATCTTGTAACTGGTAACTGACCTGCTTCAACAGAAACTTTCAAAAGTTTTGGCCACCTAAAGCAGCACTGTTTTCCTAGACTCTTTCATGTAGTGATACATTGAAACCCTTGCACGCACCGTGCTAGCATAGATCTTTGCACTCAGAGATTCATATGAGCTTGCCACCTCTGTTGACTCAAGTTACTCGGTAGACATCTTGACTTAAAGAAAAAAAACTTGTGAGGCTGTGTTTGACTTAGTTTGCTAACATATGCATTTAAACTGTTTCTAATCCGATTTCTTTTTTTTTCCCCTTCTGTTTTTCTTTGCCCTCTTTTGTTGTGTAATACCAGGTCCATTACTGAACGGGACCCGAACCGGGAAGACCCCATCAAGCCTCGGTCGTTGCGTTTCACCTTCAGCATGAAGACCACCAGCTCCAAGGATCCCGACTCCATCATGGCGGAGATCCGGCGGGTGCTGGAAGGCAACGCGGTGGACTTTGAGCAGCGGGAGCGCTACCTGCTGTTCTGTGTGCACGGTGATGGGCGTGGCGACAACCTGATCCAGTGGGAGATGGAAGTCTGCAAGCTGCCCAGGTTGTCCCTCAACGGCGTCCGCTTCAAGCGCATCTCCGGTTCCTCCATGGCCTTTAAAAACATTGCCTCCAAAATCTCCAATGAACTGTGCTTGTGAATAGTCAAAAGCTTCTCCTGTAATTATTTTTGGTGGTTCCTCTCAGTTTTAGACTTAGTCCCTTTTTTTAAAATTTCCCTGTTGTTTTTTTTAGGGCTAGCTAGAGCTGGAGTTCTCAAAAGACGATGCATCAACTTGTTCTTTAAAGTGTTGATCCTTGAGTTTGTAGACAGTGACAGCACAGACCTGAATGAGAAAGCACTTCAATGCAACATTCCTCTGTAGCAAGAGACATTTCACCTGAGATTCACTCGACAGCCAACATTTCTATGGGTCATCTATCTGTACATACATTTCTGTCTAGAAAATAGACCTCTGCATTGATGACTTTGAGCTTTGTTAACATGTGTGCTGTCCTGTGGTGCTTAGAGGACCGTGGATTCCCACTAGTTCATAGGAAAGTGCACGTCAACAAAGTGTGACTTCATCAGTACAGCGGTCTATTGGTTGGCTTGCCAGTCTTGTCAACTAAAAGAACAAACAAGAGGGGAGGTCTTTGAATTTTTCAATGAGGTTTCTGTTTATCAATTGGATAGTCAGAAATGTGATAACCAGTTTTAAATGTCTTGTGACTAATGAACAACCTTACCCTGCACATCTCTCCCTTCACCAAGCCCATCTTTGCAGTAGTAAGAATTAAGTGACGATGACTGCAAGTTGGTGTGCCACTTTTCCTTTGTTATCATATGTGTTCAGAGTGTGAACTGTTGAAAACTTGGTGGCTAACCTACCGTTGTACGAAATTCATTCAGCCACGAACAGTTGTCCTCTGAGATGTTTGGGTTATTTTCATGTTTTCTGACTGTTCCGATGAGCATGTCCGATGCCTTAATGCAGTTAACCCACATGCACGTCTGGAGTTGTTGAAGAATGTTACCAGACTGTTCAGTGTGTTTAGTTTAGCTTGACGGATTAAGATCACACAAGTTCTTCCTGGTTGAGTCATGAAGAAAAACAGATGAGGAGTGTGATTTTAAATGTTGTTGAACTTTCAGGCTGTCACAAGGCTGTGTGATCACTGTCACAAAACTTCATGATCAGTGTCACAGGGCTCCGTTATCAGTGTCACAAGAATCTGTAATAACTGTCACAAGACTTTAATCACTGGTTCAAGACTCTGATCTCTGTCACAAGACTGTAGATACTGTCATAGGACACTGTGATCACTGTCATAGGACACTGTGATCACTGTCATAGGACACTGTGATCACTGTCAGAAGACTGACCACTGTCACAAGACTCTGTGATCACTGTGGCAAGACTCTTTGATGACTATCACAAGACTGTGATCACTGTCATAGGACACTGTGATCACTGTCACAAGGCTCTGTGATCACTGTGGCAAGACTCTGTGATCACTGGTTTAATTAAGACTCTGATCTCCGTTACAAGACTGTAGATACTGTCATAGGACACTGTGATCACTGTCACAAGGCTCTGCGATCACTGTCATAGGACACTGTGATCACTGTCACAAGGCTTTGCGATCACTGTCATAGGACACTGTGATCACTGTCACAAGACTCTGTGATCACTGTGGCAAGATCACTGTCATATAAATCTTTGTTCACAAGACAGTGATGAGACTCTGTCTCATGATTAAGATCTTCATTTACTTGGGTTGAAAAATGGTCCAAGTCATGGAAAGGCTACTTGTGACTCTTGCATTCGTCTTTTTAATGGGAGAAATATTGCACTTTGAAAAGTGTTGGATTAACTTTCTTCAGCTTGAAGTGCTTTGTGTCGCTGTCAAACTTCAGCACCGACTTGCATGAATCTTTTTTTAATTTCTTACCTAATGTTCCTGTATAAATTCTCTGGCAGGAACACACATTACCGATGTTATCAGTTGAAATATTCCTTTGAAAAAATTATCACTTTTTAAAAATTATTTAAATTTTTTTGTGCAATCACTAATATGAAAAAAATCTCACCTGAAAAACGAGCAGCACAGTTGAAAAGACTTTGGAAATCTTGGTGGCAGTGTGATTAATTCCCTGTGTCCGTGTCATAGTCACTATCATGGAGCTGCTTTCTACAAGCTGAATATCAGACCTCTCGGCCGAAACAATTCACTGGCCTCCGTCTCATGGCATAGCATGTTTCCATGATCACTGCACACTCCATCAATCTGCTTTTAATCATGGAAGCACTTTGCCAGTTCAGAAAAACCCTTGCGGCTTTTTTCATCCTTTTCGGTACAACTGCTTGCACAGTGCTCCTGTATCTTCATGGAAGTTTTCCTTAAATACAGCCATCACCTGCCCATCGGCTGGTGGTGTGCCTTGCTTACAGATTTGCTGGAGAGTGTTGATCCATGATGTCATGCTCAGCAGCTCATGCAACTAGGGAGGATTAACAGGAACACTGCCTCCAAGATTCTTGTAAGTCTGGGATAGATCGCACAATGTAAAGAGCCTGATGGTTGTCTGTCATTTACCTGTAAGTACAGTTGTGCTGAATACCTTCGTGTTGATGTTACTTACAGCCTGTGCTGGATGAGTGAACCATTCTTTCCCCTAAAATGGTTTAATTCAAGCTTTTTGTGGGTTTCATTCAATTGTTTTTTTTTTTTTGTATTTATTTATTGGTTTCCACTGCCTTTTTTTCCCATTTGAAGTAATGAGGAAAGAAAAACGAGACAAGAGGTCCAGTTTGATATCTGTTATCAACGTCAAATTCCAATTGTAGCATGTACCAGGTACAAATATTTCTGTGTGTGCAAATTTTCTCAACAAATTCAAAGAGAAAAAAGAGCCGGCTGAATTTGTCAAAGATCAGCTTTCAACCAGAAGGCTACCACCATGGTCTCACTTTGTGTTGGGGAGGGGGTTGGTTTGGTGTTTTTTTTTTAATTTACTCTAGGAATTCTTTGTTTACCAACATGTACAGTCATATCTTTGTATAGAGTAGCTATCCACAAGGCTGATTCTGACCGTTCATCACTTTTGTTAATTTGTGACTGGAGTCAGCCAGACATGCTAACCAGCCAGCTAGTGTGTAAAGTGTAGGATTGAGTCCGTTGTACACATAGAAATCCCTTGGCTAAGCCACCCCAAAATGTACATGCCTATTTTTTTTGTTGTTTGGGTTTTTGCACCAATCTCATTTTGCATAATGTAGCTGATGCCGTTGTACAGATTGAAAAAGAAGTCGTCATTACGTTGCCCAAGACATAGCTTTGCTTTTTTTCTTATTCATTAATATTGTTCAGCAGTTTCTGAAACGAAGTTCCAGTACAAAATCCAACACAGCTTTTTGCTGTTACTTCCAGGATTTGGTGTCTTCAAAAGTCTTCATTGTGTTCACTGTCGCTTGTTTCATAGGTCTCTACATCCAGGTGACAGGTTGCATTCCAATCTCCTGGCAAGCAGTGATAAAGAATGAATTTCTAGAAGAATCAGATCAATGTGATAAATAACTGTGATCAGTGTGGTATTTTGAAGGCTTACAACTTTGAACAGGTGAGCCATGAAATCTTATTCTCCAGTGAGACCTACAGATAAGGATGACTTTGCTTACAACACTTGTTTGTTGAATGGTTTGTTGGATGGAGAGATACAATTGCAGTCATGCATCTTGCATATGGACATTGACATTTGAAATTTGCCTCCTTGATTTGCATGTGGACACAGCACGGATTACATCACTCCCTTACATTGGACTCGATCCATAACCCACACCAGTGAATAAAGTACCCTTTTTGAAGAGACAGAAGACTTGCTTTTGATGAAACTGTAACCTTAGACCAAAAAGCCTGTTCATTTTTTTTTTATTTACTTGTGCTTTTTGAAAGCCCAGGATTCCAGTCTTTTTAAATGTTGATTTCTTTTTTTGTAAAAGAAGCATATGTTGTGATGGTATCTCTGTATGCGGGCATTCCTACAGAAAGGGATCCCAACAGTGTTCGTAATGTGTACAGGTTTCACCAATGAAGTACAGTATGTAGAAACAGTCAGGATAATTTAAAGTATTGTAACTAAATGTTGATGTAAAGATAACATTAAAAAAAAACACAGTGATCGATCCGAAAAATAATAAACAGCATGGAAACAAGCAATTCTTAGTCATTAGCATAAAATGAAATAAAGCCAGATAGAGTGAGAGACCCCGTGAGAGGTGGTGAGAGGGAGTGGAGGGAACTAATAAATGCGGCAACGTTTTGGAATGTCAAATGGAAGCTTAGACAAACTTGAGAATTCCAAGAAATCCATTTTCAGTTGGTGTTCCAAAACTCAGCCGTTGAAACTTTTACTCAAGACTGATGTTGATAATTGTACAAAATGACAGAAAGCCTTGGTTTGTGCTGAACGCAGTTTTATTTTTTTGTTTTGTTTTGTGATCCTGTGAAGCTTTCTGGATCTGTAGATGTTAGCATTGCCACCCAGAGAATTTGTCACACCGCATGATATGTTGTATCACCGACCCATCCACCTTACAGGGCAGCAGCGGTGTATGGTCCCTCCAGGGACAAGCAATGTCCAGCCCTGCTGAGCACCAGTGGTGACTGTTCTTTCTTATCACCAGGGATGCCTGGTACCCTGTGATATAGACACAGCTTTAAATGGGCAGATTCCTGTACATCTAACAACCAGTTTGTTCACCAGTGAAGTACAATGTAAAACACACATCAGTGCGGTGTGATTCAATTCTGTCAAATATCTCAGTGTAGCATTTCTCACTGTCAAGTTTAGAGTGATTCTCTCTCCCTGTGAACTTCCACTGTCTGGATATAAACATTTTGTCATGGATAATAAAAGACTAGCAGTGTGAAGGTTCATTGTGATTTTCTCCTCTGCCTTTGTCTCACTTCCTAAAAAATCCAAAAGCCCTGTTTTTGTGATCTGTATCTTTATATACCATTTGCGTGTTGTGTCCTCGGTTTACAGTAAGAGCTGGAATTGAAAGCCAGCAGTGTATACATACTGTATAGACAATAAATACAAACGATTGGTCAACTGATCAGCGCTTTGTTTTGGCCATTGTGTCAGAATCTATACCCTGCTTATGATTGGCTGTTACACTGTTGCCAAAGTGTGAGGTACATGCTTAAACTGGATTTGGCATCACAGGATGTCAGGGTGCTCTGAACGTCTAGCAGTCAAAAAATTAGCAAGAAGCGTGGACAGTTATCCCTAGTTATTTGACTCTCAACCCTTTGGGTTCTATTCCATGTTAGCCTGACGCGTCAACATCATTAACTTGACCATACCATCCACTTGAAGATGGCACAGGATCGCACCAGGCAGCTTTGTGCTGTATAAAGTTTATACAGCCTAAGTGTTGCCGTTTGGTAGTCTGAGAGATTTTCAACACAGCTTTTCATCCAAGAGGGTATTTTTCAGGATCATGGTCAACATCTTGCAAAAGTGGTATACTGCAGCTAGTCATTTTGCAAATACATTATGGAGCCTTGCAAAAGTTCCAAATCATTCAAAAATTCAAATTTAAAAAATGGGTGACTGAATTGGAAATGTTTCCTACATTATAAGTCCATGCTATGGAGTCTTATTTCACAAGCCCTCTGTTACATGGGACATCCATCATAAATTTTCTGCAAACTAGGTTTGAAGTCTGAATAGGGGTCTGGTGCTAGTAATGTCATAATCTTCACAGTGATCACTATAACGCTTTTAGGATACCATACCTTCTTAACGATGCCTTGATATTAAAAGTAATCTCGATTTTAATAAAGGGCACTGACATATGTTCAGCCAGTTAAACTTCAAATGTTCTTTTGAAAAAAAATCTTAAAACAGTTATAAACTGGTCTTTCTTTGTGATAGACTTTTTCAGTGTGGTCAATTTGTAGACTTCAATTTGATTTCAAACCAGAGATAAATGCATTTGTGAATCTTGTCTAGGTGAAATGTCTTAACACTTCAATCAAAATGACATCCCTTCGTAAAAGTCCATGTATGATACATGTACGTGCAATTACTCCACACGAGGAACCAAAACGCTTTTGAGTGAAGAGTTTGAACCTGTCAGTCCTCATTCCCAACAAGGAGACTCGGCTATCTACCATTAGTAGGTCAACCAGAACTACACCTGGAATAGAAGATAAACGAGGAACCTAATTATTAAAAATAAATGCCTGAAAAGTGCACTAATCTTTCAGGAAACTCCATAAAATCACAGGTTTATTTGCATTAGGAAGTTGCTTTGCCCTTTTCTAGCTTACAGGTTTCCTGACCACCTTTTTTTTCCTGCATCAAGCACCAAGAATAAAAACAAGATAAAAGTGCAAAGTAAATTGTGATGTATTTAAAACATTTTTTGAAAGGAAAATCCTTTTTAGTTCAAATGCTTTTATTAAGACAACTTCAAACTTGCATTTTTGTTATTATTGAAACCCTAAAAGTTCTTATTGGATGGCCAGAATGGAATGGATTATTGAAATATATGTATTTGAGTGTTTTACAGAATTTATTAATTTTACAATATGGCATGTCCCAAATGTCAAGCTGCTACCTGGGGACCAGTGCAAAGTGAACTGTATTTCTGGAGCCTGAGACTTTGAAATGCCTCTTCTGTTTTTCAAGTAATCAAAATATTTTACTTGGTAGATATATCGTCACAGTTTTCATGAAGAGACAATTTTCTCATTGGATTGCAAAACATAAGTTTTGAGAAAATCGGTGGTCTCTTTTTCAAACGCTTAATTTTATACACTTTAGCGTTGCTTTAAATTCATTAATGCTACTCCATGAAAGAGGGGATCTTACATGACACAACTACAAAACTAATACTTGTAGAGGTTCATTAAAGTTGTTTATTTTGTAAACAAACAAGATTGTCTGTTCGTGAAATCCTGAAATTTGTGCTTAAAATTGTCTCTTCGTGAAAACTGAACGCACAGTACACACTCTCACTATAGCGCGTGTACCAGGTGCAACATTGTTACATTTGTATACATTGGCTGGAGTCAAATTGTCTCTTTGTGAAAACTGCAAAACCAGTTTTGCCTGTGGTTTTGATCTTTTTGCCAACGTTATATCTATGGAAGACAAAATTGTCTCTTTGTGAAAACTAAGAATGCAGTTTAGTTGAATATTACCTCACAGAGATAAATGTGATTTGGGTGATTTCAGTAGATTTGGTAAAAAATGGTTATATTAAGTTGTAGGCATTGCAAAGCCTAGTTGATTTTGCCAAAAACAGAAACTTGAAAAAATGTCTCTGTCCCTTCGTGAAAACTGTGACAATATGGAGCTACATAGCCCCCTCATGTGACCAAGTATGAAAGACTTGAGGATCCCATGCCTCTTTTCCAAACCTGGACACTCTCCAACTTCTGACTTCACACTGCCCTTGGAACCATTCCAAATATTAGTCTTGCATTACCCATAATCTGATGTTCCTTTGGCAATAAATAAATCTTTGGCAAGACGAAGTTTGTTGGAAAGTCTTGACTCGCCACATTTGCACTCGCCATTTGAAACAAAGGCTAAGGTTCAGGAAACCTATCGGCCCCAAGCTGGACCAAGAGAGGACGCAACTTTCTTAGCAACAGAGCCTCCTTTGGTAGGAACTTCACTTTGCTGGTTCACAAAATGACAATGAAATGTACGCCTTCAGGTTGCATCACTACCAACTCCCAATCAGCATGGCTCTATTCAACCAATGAGGGGGTGCTTCTGCTCAGTCAAGAGGAAAGTAGCCACTGCACATAAGCAATTGAATCTTGCATCATCTTTGGTATAATGCAATAATTAATTTTTTTTAAGAACAAAAACACATCCAATTACAAAGTTGTGTAGATATGACTGATTAGAAAATGTGGAGAACTGTCAATTGTGTTGGTTTTCCCCAATGTGATGGATAGCCATGCATTATATTATTATGTTTGCATGCTTGTAAGATACTGTAGAGCAGATATGTTTTGTTTTTCTTACATTTTCCCTCAAATTTTTACTGAAAAAATAAGTGGGATAATATCATGATGAGGCTGCACATGATGGTGTGTATTGCACTCTTTGTCTTTGTTCATGCAGGAAGGCAATCCTGTAGAACGTATCTACAAAGTAACCTATCTCTCATGTTTATCCAGTCACTGATATGTAGAAACAAAACCCACACTGTCTAGAACTATGGGGTCCTTCCCACAAACCACTCTTCACTATGGGGTTTTGAACAGCGATGCATGCGTCCAACTCCATTGTTTCTACGGGTAGTGTTTTTCAGATGATCGTGCCAGCAACAAGCAGTGTTCTAAAAGTGGTTTTTAATTTACTGACATTATCTACAATTGAACATAGGGAAAAAAACAGAAATCGTTCTACTGTTGTCTCATATTTTTGGCATTTGGAACTCTTCAACTGTACCTCTGGCATCTGCTGACTTTTGGGCCGATACTTCAGAAGTAATTCTTCAGTTTATTGTACTTTTGTCAGGACGTTTCATCATCGGAGGGTTCTTCCAATTTGTTTTCCTTTTAATTTCTCTGAAGTTGTATGTAATCGAATCGCACTGGAAATATTGTTGAGTCATACCTTGTCATTTCTGCACTGAAGAAGTAGCCTGTAGGAGCCATCTGCTGTCTAGTTGACTGGGTGTCATGTGCAGCGTGGAGCGCACTAGGATCCAGCCAGGCTACTGCAATTGGTTTTTTTGTTTTGTTTTATTGTTTTTGTTTTTTTTACCTGACATGGAAAGCAAAAATCTTTGTATGTAGGACAAAATGACTATTAAAAAATCTTTTTCAGTTCATAATGATCAATAATATGACAGGATGCCTACTGACCAAATAGAGCTATGCCAAATATCCGATTATTTGATCGATTATCGAGTATTCGAATTGTATTTTCCGAATTCGATTAGTCTAATGCAAAAGTAATAAAAAGGAAGAATTTTGTTGTTATAAATGAGAAAAATTGCACAATGAAGGCTTGTTTCAAGCAGATTAAAATGAAAAGCAACAGAGTAAATACATCCTGTGATTCAAAAAGTAAATTCATTTAAAAATTTATAAGGAACAGAAACTTTCAACAGGGCAAGAAGTATTGTTCTTCTCTTCAGTCTTGCTTAATCGTGGCTGGAGATAGTCCTAGAAGTGAGAAGCTGTTATGGTGATTATAATGTACAATTGAGTGCATTTTTGCAACTGATTTTGTAAATGGTTTGAATATTCGAATTATTCGCATTGACTTAGCCCTATAATCAAAAGAAAGTGCAAAGAGGGGGTAAATTGGAGCTATCTGTCACATGTGTGGAGCTATCACAGCAGAGTGGTTTTTATAGGAGTACCCCTCTCAAATATTGGGAGGGCCAGGGTTGTACCCAGGTCAGGGCTGGGGGTTGGCATTGCAAAATTATAGGTATTGTATAGAGGGCTTTATATTCTTTCCATTCTGGTCTAAAATATAATGATTGATGGAAATTTATGGGGGGGAGGGGTAGCGAGGGAGGGAGGGTCAAAGCTAGCCCCATTCTTCACCCACCTCGAAAAATGATTGGTCCAGATTTCTAAAGAGTATGTAAGTCTTGTCCCCAGGGAAGATTATCTTGGCCTATTTATTGCCGATGATAACTGCAACATGCAAATGCTCATTTGCAAAGGCACATGTGAAAAAAGATGGATACTAAATGTAATTATGTACATGTATGCTGCCTGGCTGTCTTTTATTTTGAATGATGTCTGCAGTATGGAGTTATTAATAGGAGCCCAGTGTGTGTCCAAAGGAGTCTCCAGCTATGTTTTTTGACTTCACACTTAGTTTCCATAGTTTGGTTCTCCACTACTGTGTAAAGACCCTCTGGTTCACTTTCCACTGCAGAAATAAATCTCAGAGACTTTGTTTCATCTGATCATGACAGTCTGTGCTTTTAAACGATTCTTGAGCCGAAGGCTGAATGTGGCAACTGTGACAAAGCATCTCCATGGACATAGTTGAATACGGCCCAAGTGTACCTAGAGGAAAATCTACGCACCCCTGACTGGCAACATTTCAGTCTACTCCAGACACTGTTGTGTGACCCCAGAGTGAGGCTGTGTGTTGAAGGCCCAATAGACCTAAACCATAATAATGTCACGCTTTGTTTACAAGTGTGCTTTCCTATGGGTACTTGATGGATTGTGTTCTACCCATTTGCCTCAGGAAAGCTCATATGTAGACAAAGCATGACATCATTATGTTACAAGTCAACTTGTATTCAAGATGTGGGTATTGGCCTCAACCTGCAAACCTCTGGTAACACCTTGGTTATTCATTAGTGGCGTATTGCACTACTAAACAAATTTCAATTGTCTTTGTGGCCTGTGGCCTGGGTTAAAATTTATTAAAGGCCCTGTCACACTTTTGCATATATCAAGTCTCCATGAGTTCTCCCTTAAAATTGTTCAATACGCAGCTGTACGCTCAAAATTTCTTTTGTGACTTTGACTTAAGTGCGATGCACATCTAGCGTGCATGTAACGAGTCCAGTGCATCCATTGCATAAGAGGTGCATATGCAGTGCGTATGCAGTGCACAACACTATTTTTCTTGTTGCGAATAGCTGTGTATGCAGTGCACATGCCGAGCATATTCTGGACGCATCCGACTTATGCTGACTGCCTGCCTGACACACTTCTGATGAATGCCGCGCGGATGACAGCAATCATGTGGTCTCGCCAGTTCGGCCTGAATCTGACATCTTCAGGAGGTCTGTTCACTCTGGAGTCTAGAGAAGCCTTCATACTTAACCCAATCTTGAGTGTACCCTGGATGTACGTAAAAAATATGCTATCTGTGCGTGTCTCGTAAGTTACAAATAGGTGCAATGCCCTGCCCAAATTGCAGGACAAATGGTATTAATGTTTGAAATACGTTGGCATTCGCTATGAGTTTGTTCTGCATGCATTGTATCTGCGCTGCAACTATACCATGTGTATGTCCAATTTACGCGGCTCTTATGCTGATGGGGTGCGTGCAGGGAGGTCAGCGTGTTACTGCATATGAACCACTTATCTCCCACAAACACATTGTGTACTCATACTGCACGTGACTGATGCAGGACTGATGCACTGTGTATTTATAACTTATGACCTGTATAACAGCGTACGCAGCGTAATTTTGTGCATGCCTAAAACTTTCCAGCATACTGGGCCGTACTGTGCACATGCCTGCATAAATAACACAAAAATGATTGAGATGCATACATGTATGAGGTGCGAATTGTGCATACAACTGTGTATGAAAAAAAATATCAATGCACAACGCATGAGGAATTTGGATATGCAAAAGTGTGACAGGGCCCATGAAGCATTGATTTAGATGTTCCTCATGCATTCTGTTAAGAAAACTTGCCAGGTATGTAACCCTTTACTTTCATATTTTGGATAACCACCTTAACTTGTCTATAGTGTCTTAATATAGTGGATATTTAAATTCTCTCAGTTCAGAACTTCAGTTAAAATTTTGTACTGATTTCAATTTGATCACGAATCCAGACTTCAACCTAACTCCCTAGGTAGGTGCAAAACTATGAATTCAGGACTTTTTGGGTCACAACCAACCACACTAAGAAAAATTACCAACAAACCAATAAAGTAAGTCTAGACACTGTCCTCCAGAAAACCAGTAACTGATTTATTCAATAAAAGGATTGTCAAAATGTCGTATCTAACCCAAAATTCCCAAATTAACCAACTTCTTTGAAGTTAAATATTTGGAACAAAAACATAAGAAGCTGTCCATTTCTAGCCTAATTCATTTCAATAACTTGTAATTGTAAAATTCAGTTAAAACTACAGCATAAAAACAAGTCAAAAGCAAGAGAACATTACAGCATATCTACCACTTTACCTGATGTAAAAAAATTGCCAATAATACCTCAAATTAATGAGTTGCCTTTTGTAAGACACTAAAATCTACAGTATATGCAGCAGATGCATAAGAATTTAAATCTCAAAACTTGAGAAATTCTGGAATTGATCACTTTTGAATAAACTTTTTCAAATGAACCCAAATTTACAGAGATTGGCATACATAGCAGGTGTATCATTAAGATATTGTAGAGATTGGAGAAACTGAAAGACAGAAATCAAACTCACTGACTAAATATATACACACACAAAAACTCCAACTTAAAACAATCAAATGAAAATAAGTACACAGTGAGACTTATGAGATTTGTCAAGGCACTGCCAGAACAAACAGACTCACAAACGAAATTACTCAGAAATGCACTGAAATAACATGTAGAAAGAAGAAAGTAGTTTCATACTGTGATTAATATACAATGGAATGCAGAGTTCTTGTGGATTTTTCCCCTTCTGAATAGGTCGATCTCATACAAACAAGTATTAACCGCAAATCCTCCATATTAGAATTGTTTCAATGTCTAGAGTAAGAAATATTGCATGCAAACAGGACAATCACTTGGAAAAAAAATGCTCTAATCACCAAGAATACTTGTGTTTGAGTGAAGAAGGTGTCAGCAAGAAAGACAGAATGCTTCCTATTCAGTATCAGAATCTTGTCGATGATAATTGAACAGAAATCAGATAAACATTAACAAAAACTTTAGCTTCCTGTTGAGTTTTGGAGGTCTTGCAGCAGAAACAAAATTGTCTAGTGATGACTTGCCGATGAGGTTTCATTCAGAAGTAAATAAAATGGTGTAGTGTTGTATCATAATGATTATAATAATTAAGTGAGGTTTAAACAAAATCAAATTTCAAGAAAATAAAGACATGTTTCATCAACAATCCTAAGGCCCCAGACAAAACCCCATCATCATCATCATCACACAACCAGTTAAAGATATTAAATTTGTTGCAAAATGCAGTATTTCCAATTTGAAAGGCAAATTCCAAACATGTTTATCAATATTAAGAAAAAACTGTACTGCACTGAGCCTTGTCTATTTCAAGAGACACAAACTGAAAGCTCAAATATCAAATTATTTACTTGGAATAGCCCTTTCTCCATTATTTTGTATAAATTCCTAGGCACTCATCTGATTACCAAATTTTTTGTACAATAAAATGTCTAATTTGCTACCAGTCTATGGAATGTCGCAAAATACCCACGGAATCAAGCAAGCTCAGAGACAAAGCACTGGCCACAAGATCACGAAAATGACACTCTTCAATCACACGACCAGGCAAGAACCTTGCAACTTGGCATGAGTCCCGTCAATTTTTCTTTTCCATCTCTCATTTGAGATAAGAATGCTTTCCTATTGAAGGCACTGTAAACCATTCGGCTGATTACTGTCACGAGAGAGAGCCAGACGAGCACTTGACAGAATGCATAAATGTTTGCCAATAATTCTGATATTAGAGTAGACGGCCTGGCCACACATAATCCAGGTACCTAGCTAGCTGGGCACATACATGTAATAACCTTGCCTATGCAATGACTCAGGGCCATAACGCTTGAAATGAATTAAAGTAAGTAATATTAAATTGTTGCAAAGTGACTGAAGCGAGACCAGACTACAAATCTGCAATTTATTGTTGGACTCAACTTCAAACTTCAAGCCTTAAGACAAACAGCTGAGTTGATTCAGAGGACAAAAACATGAAGTGGCCAAGCAAGATGAAGATGTTTGAGTAAATGGCTGGGCAAGAAACATCCAGAAGGCAAGAAAAAGTTTTGACATAACTGCTGAAGAAATACAAGGCAATGGAGAGGATTTTCTGTTTTATCCTTTTTTTTTTGGTACGATGAGTGGTCATCTATCTGGTATGAAACAGTTGGTATTGTTTGGCATTCTCATCAAGAAGCACGACTGAAGATTCTCACTGTGCACAGATAATCGACCATGACAGGCAACATTAATCAATTCAATAGAAAAAAATACACGTCCCTTTCAAGGAAACTCTAATAAAAAAAATTACCAATGACCATCATTCACAATATTCCACACAAATTTTAACATTTGCTCCACTTCTTTTTTAACAAAGGCTAGCTTAGGTCTTACAAAGTACTGCATTGCTATTTTTGGGGCAAACCATTTCACCTGTTCATCAAACCATCCACTGGTTTGCCCACTGGCAAACTGCTTGGATTCTTTTCTCTGAATTTGAGTAACTTGAGAGATTAAGGAATGGATGAGTTCCAAGAAGTGGATAACTGATATTTACACATTTACAGGTATTGCTTTAGGTAAATAACAAATTAGGAATGGAGCAAATTAATGTGTGCCATTTGAGCTTCACACTCAATTAGTAGAGAGGTATCAATTTCTATCTTGTCACAAAACACATTCAATTAACTAGGAAAAATAACATCTGTTTACTCTGAAATCATTTTATCTTAATATGACTTGAGTTGTCCCAAAGTACTGTTGAAATTTTACATTTTCAACAAATCAGTTTTGTTCTTTACTTTCCTTTACAGAGAAAGAAAAAAAATCTTTAAAAAGTATTCAGAATTTGTACTGCTCAAAACAAGCACTAATTACCATCATAGGCCACAGTGGGGAAAGGCACAAACTGCTTCAACCAAGTCGACAACTTTTCATGTTGTAAACATTTTCAATAAATATATAACTTTTGTCCACTACAAATCTACTGTATTCAAACTACAAAATGTATATTACAGGCTATATGGGAAAAAAGATAATCCCTTACCATAAAAAATACAAACCCACCCAGTACCACAGTAAAACATTTAGATTTGGATGACAACAAAGCATTAACATTTGTTTTTATTATTTTTTGTTATTATTTTTAAAACTGCTGTACAATTTCTTAAACTGGTAAATTGTCTCCTTAAAAAATCAAACATGACCAGATTCATAACTGGACAAAAACTGTATTGTCTTGAAAAAAAGGCACAGTTGGTATTGAAATATGGTGCAGATTGTGTGCTCTGTTCAAATGAGTAATATTTCCCCATGCAAAAGAGCTGGGTAGGGCACTGAGACAAGATGAGGCACTGCTATCATCAGTCACAATTTTTCTCTTTAAGATTGATAGACATTTTTAAAGTGCAGATATCAATTGGCCTAAATGTCCCTCTGCCGTACTGAAAGCCTGATTTGACAAATTTTCAGTTTCTCGCCCATCAGTTTGAATCCATTTGGGGGGTTACGAAACAAATTAATGTTGGTTGCCAAAGTACCAGTACAGCTCACACAAGATGTTTAAGAGGTACTGTCAAGTCCTGCACAATGGAGAATAAATCAGCTGGTCATAATTTCTTCACTCTGTGACAATGAACTCAGAACACACATGTAAATATAGTACTCTTACATTTTGAAGAAGACAAAACATTTCTACAAATTCAAGAAACATGAAAAAGGTTAGACAAAAAAATTGGAAACACACCTTTCTTTCCTATTGAACCAGAAAAATGAAGCAGAAACTTTTCTTTGATTCCATTCATTTCCAAATATTTACTGTCACTGTTCCATTTCAAATAGAATTGCCTCTGGTTCTCCTGCATACATGCTAGTACCTTTCAAACCAATTAAAACGTGTCAGTAGGTTCAGAAGTGGGCAGAGCGCAGAATTATGACATAATATCTGATTACTTAAGGCCATTTCATATGTGAATGCAAAAGCAAAGCAAATTTGACTTCACAAAACATTTGTAGAAAACTCCACTTGCACTGAAATGTGCTCAATCTTTGCAAATTCGCAGCATGAACCAATACTTGATCTGACATCACAATGTTGCATTCATGTTTGAATTACCCTTTAAAATAGGTCTGTGATATAAAAAACAAGGTCACCCAGAGTAGAAGTTAACCATGCACCAACTTTTCCCTGCAGTGCACAGTAGCACTGTCAAAGTCCTATCTCCTCCTTGATCTCCGCAGCTAAGAAAGATTTTATAGATATATATGTTTAGAACACTAATACATGCAATCGGAATTTAGTTTGACAGCTGCAATGGATATTTCCTGTCCTCACCCAGCTCTTAGCAAGGGTAATGAGAGGTGACGCCATCTTGAATATTAACTGTGATCTCGTGCACTGCTCATCGGTCCTGACAAGTCGAGCACACGGGCCAAGACAGACAGCCGAGGAACGGAAGGAGCCCGCAAAGGAGCAGAGTGAATAATTGTCATGAAGGATCAACAACCCTGTCCATCCCCATCCCCTCAATTTATGCCGGATCCAGTTATTCAAACAGAAAGCCCTCATTTGTTAGTACTTTTTTTCTTTTAAAAAAAGGAGGGGGAGGAGCAAGGAGAGGACATTTCACCAGGCTGTGCAGTGACAGGTGGTCATATCGCAAGTTGTTCATTCCTATTCATGGTATACATGTACACACAGTTTGTGACATACACGAGGTGCTTTTTTTTTAATAAAAAATAAAGTATCTCACAAAGTAGGTCCCTCTAAATTGAAAGAACAATCACAGACCAAAAAAAGATAAAAGATTTTGCATGCTTGTCGGAGTCCATGGAAAAAAAATTGCACTCTTGCTGCAAACCTAGAAAACAATCAGCAAATGAACAAAATCATATCGTTTGATTACTCCACCCCCCCCAAAAAAAGATTCTCACTGACATCTCTTCCCCAACTGAATTTTGGCTGCTAGACTGTGGGCCCACACTTCTAGGGTATTCCTTGAGAGAATACCACCTGTTACCAATCATCTGCTTTGGTTCTCACACGACATGACAATAGCCAAGCCATCAGGATGAGGCAATTAAACTTTCCACGGACTGGAATGATGAGGAGTATATATTTCTTCATATATTTCTTCATACATTAATCCACACACATAATCATCACACTGTACCAGCCCCCAAAAAAATTCCTTTAAAAGTTTCAATTACAAAGATCAAAGAGGCACATATGTAGTTCTGTTAGAAGAGTAAAGTATTTCAAATCGACTGGCAAATTTTGTTTGTTTTTAATGATAAACATACATTCTTCTCAATCATAAATACATAATGGCAATCATTATTCCTCAAATATGTTTTCATAAATATGCTTTATAACTTCTTTTAATTAATTATCAAACTCTTGAGATGCATGCAGCTTACATAAAAAAGTACTTGATTAGAACTTTTTTGAGTTGTTTCACTTGGAATATTCCAAAGCCTATACTTTTTATGGAGTTGTATAGTGACGGCACAATTCCTCACCGAAATATTTGCATTCGGGTTTTCACAAACAGACAACTGAATAGCCTGCAATGTACATGTACATGTTATCACCAAGAAATATCGATATTTGTGACTGATGGAAAATGAAGTCATAATGGCAAGCACACAAGATGTGCAGAGTACCGGCACCTGCAAAAAAAATCACATTCAGAGGCAAAGCCATTGCATTTTCAAGTTTGTTCGGACTGGAGGCACATTTACATGTATATTGCTTTCGATCAGGCCACATCAGAAGATTACTAACAGGTGGCATAGGTCATCACATCAGAACAATCTTCTCAGTGATTTTCCATGATCCACTTTGTCTTGCCTTTGGCATCTTTCACTTGTCATTGTAAGGCTTGTATTCAGGAAGAAAGACAGAGATTACATGTATGCTGACAGAAATGCTAGCAACCGAGTTAAAGTTCCAGCCCTTGCCACAAAGGAAAAATGAAAACAATCTCAGTACCACCTGGAAAAAAAAAAGCTTCCTGCACGCATACCATAAAACGACACTGTCAACTCAATTAGAATGGGGGAGGGGCTTTATCTGACCATTACCCTTTGACCCGCATCCCATCAGTCCATCTCCTCTAGGCAGTTGGCAGACTTGAAGAAATCTGGCAAGGGCTCGTCGAGCTTGCCGATGACCTTGTAGATCGTCTTCTTCCAAGAGGGTTCTGTGTCCTTGCCCAGTCGGATGGCCTCAAAGAACTCCCGCAGAGTGGTGGTAGCCACCTCCATGAAGGATTCTGGCACCTGGCACAATAAAAAAAAGAAGAGAAAAACGATCCATTGAGGAGCCAAAGTGGCTTCTTGGGGATGGTTGAAACTCAAGGGGGAGATGAGAGAAAATTTGTTCCAGGTACAACTGACACCCGAGATTACATTATTAAATTTGCACTTTTTTACTCCTCTGGTCACCTGTTGAGGAGTGCACTGACTGATTGGCAATAATTCTGTGGACAGCTGATATTATGCATTGGCAAATCTCTGTCAAACTTACAGTGCGGTGCATGGACTGAACTATAAACTTCTGGGGAGAGAGGGGGGATTTGGACCATATAAATAACAGCCACATGACTACAGGTCCCTGTGTATTTTCAACTGCCAGTAAACTGGACCAAGTGGGTAGATGTACATCAAATACATGGGTAGGTCTTCTTGTTCAGGGCACCATTTCTTTCATTAAGAAAGTTGGGACCAAATTGTGGAGACAAACATATGTCCTTATTACATCCTTGTTCCCCATAAGGTCTTTATTTCAACACGTGCTGTCCTCATAACCGACAAGAAGTACATGTGTGCACTGTGTTGTGAATTAAACATTATGCATCAACAAAAATCAAATTCAATGGCATATGATGACTTCACATGTATAATCCATTCTTCATGACTCACTCGACTGAGACAAACATTTCAGTTGAATACCACAATTTCACTCAGTCAATAGCAAGTCCTCAAAATGCGGAGTCATCCCATCGCTCGTGTGTGGTGCTTTACCAACCACGAACACACAACCACATGAAGAAAATGTGCAACAAAAAGTCTTTACAGGTTCTTCCAGAGAAGAAAAGGGAAAAAAAAGTGATGAATCACCACACTGGGCTATTCCAAGTATAACAACAACATACTTCACATTTCTGAAGGGGTAAACTAGAAACAACTCCCTTTTCAGCAGCAGCTTGGTGTCATCTTGTGACTGGTCGAACAATCATCAAACAATGCAGCCACACAGAAACCAGAAAAAAAAAACAGTCAACAGGAAAATGACGACCTTGAAGTATGGTTTAATTTTGGGGCTACACTGACACTTGATCCAATACCAAGAAGCCATTTTGTTCAAAAGATCAAACAATGTCACCATACCAAATCTACATGTAGCTGGGTTGGGCAATAACACAACCGCCACAAGAAGTAATTACAGCCAAAGACGATGAGTATACATATACACACCCATAACACAGGAGTGGTGGCACCAAAATGGAAGTGGCCTTCACTTCGAAGAATACCTGCACCTTGAAATAGTGCAAGCAGGAGGCAGGGCAATTAAGGAGGAAATCAACGAGCGTCTGGATCAAAGGCAACCACTCGCAAGGGATGTGGTAGAAATCACAAAAACCTAAGGACATCTTTTTTTTCTCTCTCTCCCCCCCCACAAATGTAGGTGCTTAATGGGCACTGCACACAAGTCGTGACAAGAGGCGTTTGTGGTGCCGGGAAGAAAAGTACAAGCGACCTGCGCTCTGAACACAGCTAGGCCAGTGGTTGGCAAGCCGACACGCTGACGGCAAGGCCCCAATGACGACTTGACAACTTCCTGATTACATGGTCTTGAATTAGAAAATACCAAGAGGCCATGCCGACTAAATAATGCAATGGGTGTTTTAAGCTCGATGGATAGATAGGGAGCGGTAATTGCTACTGCGTGTGCCTGTCTTAAGGAGTCTCATGATTGATGGCCTTCCAGGAATTTTTTTCCTAGTGTTTCACTCTTTCTCTTTACTTTTGCACCAACTCAAGGTGATCCAGCCCGAGTGTCATAAAATCTTCCAATATTTGCCGAACAGAATGACCTTGGCCTGTATCACTGATTCCTCCAAAAGTGCAGGCAACTCTACCCCTCCAGAAAAAAAAGAGGAAAAAAAAAGATTCAAGTCCAATCACTCAGCCACAAATACCACACATGAAGCTCATACAATAGGCACCTGTCTGCTTCTTTCTATTTCATTTCAAAGCCACTACAATTACACTTTATGTTTGAATTCTCTGCCTCAGAATGGAGAGGGGGTTCTTAGAATGATATAAGCCTATTCAGTATTGGTGACATCCTGTCTAGAGACTCATATTAAGACTAGGTAATGTTACCAAGTCACGCAGCAAGATTGCTGGCTAATCCCGGTGTGCATCCAATTAGAAAATAAATTTTCTCTTTGACGACTCCCGAGATCCGGCTATAATCTCATGTAAGACCCTGCCAGGGCCCCAATATTCACGGCTCTGTTTGCCATCAATGTGCAGAGCAGTTCTTTGTGCTTTGACTTCAGTGCACTTGGGCCACAGAAGCCATTTTTTCACCCCAACAATCTTGCCACATTTGGTGATATGTGATATCCAATGCAACTCTTGCTTTTTGTTTCAACAATGTGTTGAGGAGGAGTACCCTGTCTGTCGTTTGATCTTTTCAAATGTCCTCTTGTCACTACATGTACCCTCAATTTTAATTCCTTGCTTTGTACATGTACATCCCCCTTTTCGGTTCACTGCCAAAAATCATGTGGGATCTACAACAAACACATAATTTTGACGTAATTTTAAACTGAATCTCAAGGAAAATGTACATGAGGGTCATTGCCATAAATGCACATTCAAAACACACCAATGCTTCATAGGACCCACTGTAAACATCTCAGTGATTTGAAGTAGTAGGGGTTTCCTTTGGAAAAGCGTGACTGCCATCACAATGTTTGTATTGAAGTCGGGAGCCTGAGGCTCAACCCTTGATACTATCCCCGTTTCCCAGCCCCAGTCAGTGGTAGTTATTTGCATGGGATTTGGGACCCTCCCACAACACGGCCCAGAATCCTTTGTGGTCCTGGTTGCTTAGCAGTCCATGGATGCGCTTGCCGGGGGCTACAGGCGGGTGTCGGCTTCACCCTGAAATATGCCATGCATTTGCAGCTGAGCACAGATCAAACCTGCCAGCACTGCATTTAACTGAGTGTGTAAACTTGTTTCTTTATTCCTTACATGTATATCAGGGTTACTTTTTGTTGCAAGTTAGCTGATTTGGGTCTATCGTGATATGCTAGTTTGTCCCAATGTCTGCATTTTAGTTCAAACCAAACCCTCCAAATTGGTAAGAACATCCTTGATTGAACCTTCTTCCCTCCAAGTACTACCTCTTGTATTCTGTTTGATAATATGGGTTCATGCATCAACATCTTTTCCTATTTGTGTTGGACTCTAGGAGTCTCAATGCAGATGAAGAAAAAATTATTACAAAAGAACTGCACTAAACTGAACGCATCAAATTGTTGAACTATGAAATGTCTGTATTGAGGGAAGATTACCCTAACAGCAAACAAATCAACAAGACGTTTCGCAGTGTGGGCCAGGTGGGCAGCAAGTGCACTTGACATTTCAAAGAAACAAAGATAAATATCCAAACACAGTTCTGCATTATTGGGAATCATTGGGGCAGGTCAGAGGAACAACATGTTTGGAACGTCTACTCCAAAACACCTTAGATTTGAATTGGCGCGAACAAAATGCAAGTTTCAGAAATGCGGGACTGATGGGGTGTGACGGAGGATATGGGTATTTTCTTTGTTATGCAAAGGGAAGTCAGACAGTATGGAGACCGGAGTTGAAAAAGAAGGGTGAAAAAAAGAGACAGGCAGCGCTTGGCCTTGCTGACAAAGTAGTCGTGACCAGCAAAGGGAATCAAAACACCTCTTTCTCTTTTAATTTTAAGAGGAAATTAATGACAAGGTTGTAGCATAAAGCAGGTAGCATTCAAAGCTGTCGTGACCCCCCCAAAAAAATTTTTGAATCAAGGATGAAGTGTTCAAGAAAGTTCTAGCAACATGACACAGTGAACAAAATTTTCTTGTAGATGTTGTCTTGTAGTTTGATTTCACACTCTTTGAGGAGGGGAGGAAAGCAATTTTCTTTGGAGAATCTATCTATCACTAGGTTTTGTCAGTTGTGGGAAGGGGCCATAGGGTAAGGAGAGTTACAATGCAATTGATATGTGCTTTTAGAAAGCACTGAAAGAAAAAGATTGCACTTGTTAACACACTTAAAGTCTTCATTGTTTTTCAACATGCATCTGATATAGACTTCTGCAATCAATGCTTAAAAAAATCCCCAAACAAACAAACAAAAACCTGTGGAAGTTTTATGATGAATCCTACAAAATCATACACACCACAAAACATTGATTGTTTTTCTTTTCTTTTCTTTTCAGGGTAATTTCTTGTTCCACTACCCAATGAGAAATGCACAACTGGCTGCTGTGCTACATGTATGTGTCCCACAGAAGACTTGCAGAGGTAAAGTTGGTCCAGACTGGTACGAGAATGCGCAGAATGTCCGGCTTCGTTTGGGTTGGCAAAACCACCAGCATTGCGTGCGAGCACTCAAGTGTTCAGAGGCACTTAACTCCCATCAATGTGTGTTTTTCCTTTGCCCTGCAAGCCAGCAACAACTATGAAAGGAATATTTCTGCACCACTACACATGCCATTGGCTTACAGTAAAGAGCACCTTTGTGATACGCGAGTGTTACCCCCGTACTCTCCCCCCCACACACACACACACAATTTTTGTGTTTGTTTGAGAAAATATCTCACACAGATCCTTGGCAATGATTCAGAGGTCACTGAATAGACACTACCCGGCCAAACACTAGTACTGAAAGGAATTCTTGCTTGGAAATTCCATCCCCCCCTCCCACTTGTTGTGAGCAGGAATGTATAACATGGCTAAAGCACTGATTCAGCGGATACTCCAACGGTTAAGCAGTTCTTACCAAGTGATTCTGCACCAGTGCTGAAGATGCTTGAGAGTTATAATAATGAAGCAAAATGACAGTGAGGTTAAACCAAACACAGTGGGAGACTATAGTGCTAAGCAGTGAAATGCCATGATGTACCAAACTAATTAAGTTTAACAACTAATTTGGGTTAGGGTTGGAATAGGATCCGATAAGAAACTTATAAAATAGTACTTTGTGGGTGGCTACCAGATAAAAATGATCAACTAGCAAACAAACAACAGCACATCTACGGTAGAACGTTAACTTCCAACACAAAAGAAAAGTTGCTTACAGTTGGTACATTTTACACCAAATGTACATGTTACGGACAGATGTCTTTAAGAAAACTTGTGGTGTTTACAAATTTAGTCAAATTTTCATGGGTACACCAATTAGAACTATGGTAAATGCTTTCAGACCACAGCAATATCAGGAATTTGAAAATCCTTGGATACAAAAAAAACACCTTATGGCTTATCAAGCATTTTCTCAATCACCGCATGTTAAAATATTCATCACTTGTGAACCAAAACTGGTGGCCGAGAAAACAGTTTGTTCTTTTCTGCCACATGTGATCCAGTCTCCCTCTTATTTGTGTCAAGCAAAGTGCTCAAGTTTGATTTGTGAGCTCACTGTTTCACTCTAGGTGAACACTCTACTTCAGTTATGCATTGGTTTTCCCCTGGAACTCATTCAAAGGCCGTTAATGAGGCACCAGTCTAGATAGAACCCAATGGAAAGAAAAAACACAATTGATGGAAAAAACCCCCGTGAAGGGTGAGTGTCTTTGAGTGTCGCTGTGAAGTGTGTAGCCTATTAGCAAAGAGTGTAATGTTTTAGCACCTCTTCAGAGATGTTTCATCCAGTGATAACAAAACCATATTTTAATAAAGTTAACACCAGGCCTCAGGAGACATTAAGAACACAGAAATGCTAAACATGAGACTATTATTACCGATGATTGCTTCTCAATTCATTTTTGGCTAAGCAATCATTTCGACTAAGTGGCTCTACCGCACTTCAAGGCCAATTTATCATTGTGAGAAAGCTGCTGAGGGCACTGTCTGATCCAGTACATATGTACATGTACCTCTAGTGAACCAGTGTACATGTAACTCCAGTGTCTGGTTCAAAAGTTCCTAACAAAAGAAATCTTCCTTTGCTGTTCCTAACACATGCACAACATGGAGGGTGGGTGACCAGATTTCATCTGAATGTGCATCAATTCATACAGTCACCTGAGCACCAGGAAAGGGAAGGTCCTATCAAGTTATGACCTGTTCTCTCTTGGAGCCCTTGGGAGCAAAAACTACAGAAATGCCCACTTTAACAGGTGGGATCTAGACCCTCAGATAAAATATTCCAGGAAAAACACATGGAGTCATGTAGAGACAATCAACATTGCAGCCTGGGAAGATCACTGGGGTTGTGGATGAGAAAAGTACCAAAGTGCCTGACTGACATGCCCCACTACCCCCGTGGTAGCAATGGCACCCAAATGCAACGTTTGGCATTTTCTACAACCAAGGCTGTATCTACTCCCTAAACAGGTTCCTCCCTGCCAGGTGACAAAAATAGATCCTGAGCTGACTTCCTGAACACCAAAAGCACTGTGTGGCTGACTGGTGCCCAGACAATCACACTAACTGCCCCTGTAAATATGACCGGCTCCAGAAAAATGGGTAATAAGTCGCCAGATTCAGGTGATCAGTTTTTGATATGGCTGGATTGAGTACATCAAAAACTACAATTTGATTCATGAATGACCCCTGTAGTGCACTGCATTCCAGAGATATTTAGACATTTGTATATTCACATTTTCGAATTCAATAAAAGCACTTTTCAAGAAAAAGCTCAGAAAGTGTAGCACTTAGAAACACAATGTTTTGTAGGATTTCCTACTGAGTGATCAATTTTTCATCTTTATTCATCAGTATCCATGTTTGTAGTCACAAATTCTGAAAACATAAATGTTATACAAGCTATTAGAGAAAAAACACAAAATCACATTTTTGAAGACATTTTGACCTCTCCAAATTAGAACAGGCCATAACATATTTTGGAATTGTGCAACTTGTTACCCTTTTTTGCTGAGCAGGTCACAAATATCCTACACATTTTGCAACGGTATGGTGCATGTACATGTATCTTTGTGTGCTCTGTGCCGGGCAAGCACAAGCAGGCATGGACACATGGTGTGTCATCCCAAGGGAACTGTTTGCGAGGTAAGAAATGGGCCCCACCCTCGTTCATGCAACAGAGCCCAGAGTTACGCAGACTGCTACTTTCTGTGCAGTTTACTCCAATTGACTCTCAGAACAAAAATTGAGACTTCTCCTACCTTAAACTCATTGCTCTTATTGTAGTGCATGTTGAGCGATCTGAAGAGTTCCATGTCTCGAATCACCAGCAGGTCTTCGCTCTTCTCAACGCCATCGCTGATCGCCTGACGAGCAAACTTCTCCATCTGGATGTAGTAAAACTCCCGGAAGTTGCTGAACCACTTAAAATAGAAAAACAGGAAAGTCAATGAATGGAATAAATAAATGGATAATGAAAACAAAACAATAATAAAGAGAACAAAACAGTTGTTGAAACAAGAGACCAAAAAATTCACAGAAATTCACATTAGAAAAAATGCCAACTTGTCTGGGATTCACACATAACTTACAGATAAGCCTAAATTGGACTACAAGAAAAGAGAACATCAACATGTTTCAATTCTTTAAGCTGAACAAATGAAGTAGGTTTTCAACCAACAACAAACTAAACAAAAATAAAATTAAACAAATCAATTCAGCTCAAGGTTTAGTAAGCGACAAACTCCTCAAGCAATCTTCAGGTACATGAAGTTGGAAGCAGCCAGGAAAATTGAAAGCAAGAGACCCTCAGAAAATACCCCAGATATCAAAAAATACAAACTCCGCACTGATGCCCAATGAAGTCATCAAACCACTGAAAAACAAAAACAAATGAAAATGAAGAAAATAAAACAAAAACGCAAGTTTTTACCTTGATCATCTGAGAGGTGTTGTGCCTGTTGAACTTGACATCTGGGAAGTACTGACGCAGGAGAGCAGAACTTGGGTATCTGACATAGAAGAACATCAGCTTAGCCTTACGCAGGTGAGTGGGTGTCAGCGTGGATGTCAGGGAGTGTGATAAAGTTAAGGATATATTCAGGCATGTTCTAGTTATTAAAAAGAAAAATTGAAAAGCATCCAATTCTACTGATTCTCCGTGACTCTATGAGAAAACAAAGCATGAAATTTCGGACATTTGAATGAATATGAGAAAGGACAAGACGTCAATCAAGTACATAAATATTTGCCGAATGAGAAAATTTAACGTCAAGATACATGTATGTAGAGATGAACATTCATTGGCAAAGGAAACTACATTGAAGAAGGAAACACACACAGAGAATGCTCATTTTAATACTGACACTGAATAGGGCATATTTGTCATTCCCAATTCAGCTCACACATATGACCACAGCAGCAATATAAAGTTTTCACGGTTAACAATTTATCCTCTGGTCACAATATTGGTGTCAGATTGTTGACAATTGATGAGGTGCAGAAGTGGTAGATCCGGGAGAGAGAAAATACTCCAGGAGGAGGGGGGGAGGCAGACGCTAATTACAATACACGCGTAGACGGCACATGTACGTTTTTATGCTCATTTCTCGTTACAGCAATACTGTGGTGACTGTAATGCCTCTTTGGCAAAGCTTCATCCGACATGAAACTGTTTTTGTTTTTTTGTCTAACTTGGGGGGTACCAATTTGTCTGATCCAAACCAATCATCACTGAAAAGGCACTGTAAAGTAACCTAGTGTGAAAATGCAAAACTGTACTACTGTTCTACAAGCCGTCTTAGGCTTGATCTGGGTTCTATACTACCTGCTTTTCAGAAATGGCTAAAGAGTGTTGTCCCCTTGAGATGACTGTATTGTACATGTAAATCACACAAATGTGGCCGGGACCACTTCAACCTAGATGTTTCTGTGGTCTAAGCAAAATCTTTATACACAAACTGGTTCATTGGTTCGAAAGAAAATAGCTTTCCTTAAATGTTCCTAAAAATTTGTTTTAACAACTATAGAACAACAATTATCTATAAATAATTCTAATCGATCAATTAAAAAAGAAAGTTTAACTACTTGCGTGTATCTTAATCTGGTTCATCAAAAAACAAGAAGTCCAAAGATGTAACTAGTCACAATACACAAGGTCAGAAAACAATATTTGCTACCCTAAAAAAGGAAAAGCCCGTTCAAAAATTGGTTCCTCAAAAAGAAAAAAAGGGACTGGAAATCTACAGTATCAAGTGACTGAGACAGAATATATGAATGATTGGGAGAGACCCCGTCAAGGATGACTGAGCCAGCACTACGTGGATGTACACATAAACGGCACAAGAAAAGCTATCTGCATATGAATGGGCAGGCGATGATTGCCCGTGCAGCTGCTGCCTACTTCAAGAACATATGGTTGTCTCGACACCATTCACATATCCACACAATCACCAGGATACCGAGGAAAGAACAAAATAAATAAATAAAAACCTGAACTTTTGTGTGTTGGATTCTGACTGTTACCATAGTTTGCACAGAGTGCTGCACAACTTTTACTTTGTCCTTCCTTTGTTTTTATCCTCCATAAGGAAAAGGGCTGCAGATAAGTTGAAGGATAACAGTGCAGCAGTGCAAGGCAAGTTTTGGTTGATGCTGCGACGCCCATGAATTTCCGTCATCCAAGGCTCAAAACTACATGTTGTGCATTCCTGGCCATTTCTGTGCCAGTCAAGACTTTTCCACCGACAGTTTTAGCTAATTGATTAATTAATACAAATACTCCAGTTCCCATAAATGAGTCAGGTTAGCCTTTGCCGGAAGAAGGCATTTGAGGGGTGCAAACTATCAGTCCAAAGGCTTACAAAACTGTGTTGGGCTGATTCGTCCGTTTTACAGGCTTTATAAGATCTATAGATGTATAATATATAAACAAGGCATCAGAAGCATTATTCAAGTCCAACTTCAACTTATCTTCACATAAATTTGAATTTCACTGTTTCATGATTTAAAGTAGCTCATATGAACTCCAGATATGCACCTGTTATTCTGAAAAAGAGGCAAAAGGGCTCCCCCCTATATGTCTATCACTTCAGTTTCAGCCAATTATCTAATGGAAAAGCTCCAGTAATAAGAACTCTATCAAGAATAATTTTTTGTCTATTTCATCAGTTCCTCGACAAATTCATGATCAAGGAAATGCACATGGAGCTTGCCAGGAAACATAAGGTGCACCCTTTGGATCAAGTTACATTTACAGTCAGTACTGCCCCTTTTCCCACAGTTCAGGGATAAATTCAGGGAAAAGTAAGGCAAGCCTCTTCAAACTGTATGAAATCTCTCTCTCAGTTCTAAAAAGAATTGCTGTGCATCGGCCATTCTAGTAACCAGAAATGACGCTACATTTATGAATTCATTTCAGAGGATATACCGGGTGCATATACTTGTACATGTATCCTTACTCCTCCTAGGTTTTTGTTGTGCAAGTAATCACTCACCGCAGTCATATATATATCTGATCTAGATCTCCCCAGGAAATTGGTTGGACTGTAAGAAGTGCTTCAGGAAATTACAGATTTGTGTCAAAGCTTCTGTTCAGAAGTTGCAGCTTGTCACCTTTCCTGTTGAATCGCCTTGGTAACCCTATCAGCTTACCGAAATGGTATATAATCTTGATATTTTTACTACCCTATAAATCAAAAAAGTAAGTGACTCTGACAATTCTTAGTAATACTGATTCAAAATGGCATCTCAATATTGTACTAGCTCGCCCAGAGTTCCCTTGCCAACTCTTCCCCTTAAACCGCCAGTGGAGAAATTAATGCATGGAAAGTACAGCACACTTGGTGACAAAAGAAAAAAAATCCATGGTTTTGGTAACACCTGCGATGATTGAAATGGCAGCAATTCATCAATGACCAGCCCTGGCTTAGAATCCATTTTTCTCCCACCTCTTTTCCTTCTCTTTTTTTTTTTTCATGGAGGAGAGAGAAGGGAGCACTATGAGGTTGAACCAGCTAACAGTGAAGAGGATGATGGGTGCAACGATTCTGAATGGGAGGCCTTTGTTGGTCAAGTGAGGAAGACAATACAGAATGTGCAAAGAATGGCTTGGCGACATGCATGGCAACATCTCAATGCCCAGAATTGGCCCACCGGGGATTAGCCTAGATGGCTGTCGCTGATCTCCAACCTGAGGTACAAGGAAAGCGCATGGGGAGGGGGTGTTTGATTATGCATAAAGGCTAACAAGATACAAGCATCCCCCCGTCCTGTCTCCCCTACCATTCCATCTCTCTCCCCAGTCAACTCCAGTCCGACATGTGGTGCAGGGCAGCGTCCTCCTGCAATTATTCCACTGCTTTTATGATCTGAAATTAGGGTGCATTTACATTTTTTTTTTTAATGGGACAAGAAAGAGGGAGGGCTGTACAAAAATATGGCCATCGTCTTGCTACTGCTGGGTTTGATTGATTGGCATTGTGGACTGAGCTGGCACCAAACACTCACAGTAGTCTTGCTGCTTTTGTGGCTTGAAAGTTCAATTAATACCAAAGTTCAAGACTGCCACACGGACATGCAGGAGTGAATGTACTTTTTTTAATTGTTTTTTTTTTTCCTGGCTGCACTTATGGTTGCTTTGTGCTTGGTTGCACTTTAAAAAGTTTACAACTCAAGAAGAGCACTGTCTGACTATATAGGCACACACCAATGCTTCTTCACGAATTCACAGCTCACGGCAGCGGTTGTGATAGGATGAGCAAGCTTGAAACCTGACCCAATAAAGCCTGAAGGATCCTTTTCCTCAGAGCGAGAGCGAGGGGAAAAAAAGTGCTATCATATCCTCCATGGCCATGAACCTTTTATTACAATAACAAGTTGCTCACAATATGAGCAGGTACACATGCATTTCAATTCTTACCATTTTGTCCACAGAATTGCATGAGGAATCCGTTCTTAGATTTCCCAGAAACTGTTTTCCCACAGAAATACTTTTTTTTGGGGGGTTCAGACATTTGTGAGGCTCATTATAGAGGATCACAAGGTCTTAAATATCAAAGGTCATTGTAAAGACTCGAGATATATCCAGAAAACTCAGCATGCGAATTGATGGCCTGGATTTGATGGCATCAATTCCTGTGCAGGTTTCCCACAAACTGTTGAATGCCAGATCTCCATTTTCCCTGTGCATTACCAAAAATAAACAGGGCATTGTTTTTGTTATTACCCTGAGAAGGTTCCCACGAGTGAGCCGGCAGAGCAGGAAATGACATTACAGGTGGAAAAATGTCCAACAAAAACAAAGCCACCATCCATTACACACAAATTCATACAGATGTGAAGAATACACGTACAAGTTCCCCAAAGTGATGTTCCACAAAATCTAACAAAAACAATCTGAAAAAGGAACAAAATCATGCAAGATAATTTTCAAAATGATTGAAATGCAAATGGGACAGTTAACAGAATGCGGCTGCGAAACTAGTCATGTGACTTATCCACAACCCACACTCTACGTACCAAGAGAGCACACATGCACATGTACAAGCAGCAAAATGCAGCATCCTGAAGGGGGAGTCTACTCCCTTTCCATTTATGTTTGAATTAATTCTTGGAACTCAGGTGGTGGGCTTTATCACAAGCCAACATCTGGTTACTGATATGCCATAATCAACAACTGTTTTTCTGAAAATGATGAGTCCGTCTCGGATGTCAAAACAAAATAAAGCTTTCTTTTGGTACCGGTTCTCTGTCTCCTTTAGCTGTTCATTCGTGTTCATGGAAATGCTGAAACTCATATGAGTGGTAAAGAGTTTTTAATGAGTCATTTTAAATTCCATGATTTCAAAATATGCTGTATGGATTATTAAAAGATGCTCAAGGTTTGACTTGATTGATCAATCCCATATTCACCATGTCTTATAAAACATGCTATTCCAGGGGCGGTCAAGCTCAATTAGTAATCAAAACTACGATTATTGAAACTGTCCTTGTGAATTTTCCTAATTGCTGAAAAACTAGTGAGGTTATAATCTAATGTGGAGTTATTTTTAAAATGTATTAAGCTTTCCCTTACAACCATCATAAACACAAATGCCATGAGGGACATTTGATGAACATTTCTTTCCAACTATTGAGCCCTACCATCATGAGTATAAAGAGATGACCTTTCAAGCAAACGTTAAAGTTTATAGAATACACCTTCTGCGACAAAACTTATGAAAGCTGGAGTTGTAATCACAATATGGAAAACTCTTTCACAATATTGCCAAAAGTTTGCCAAAAATGTAAATTTGACCAAATGTGCCGACCTGCTTCAGTGAGCATGCAATCAACAACAAATTAGGGTAATGTGTGGTGTGTTGAAATGTGGTATAAATTGTCATTTTTTGTTCAAGAGTATTGAAAAATATTTCTTCAATTCATGAACACAAGCCAAGTACATGTAAACCAATAAACCTTTCTTATAAATAAGCTATCCATTAAAAATGAGACTTTATACGGTCTTAACATGTAGCACTGAACAAGTCAACTTGTTGAAAAGGATATGGTCCCATTTGCTGCAGAGTAGCCTGAGAGATCAGACAAGCCAGGGGAACCCCTTATCAAGGAGTCATTATCATCTGACTTGATGAAGGGATAGGACAGGCTGTCATTGATAGGGTGATCACCAGCATCGCTGCCATGGTTCATCATGGAGGACTGCTGAGAGTGATGATGGTGGTGACCCAGCTGAGGGCTGTGCGCATACCTGAAGGAGAGGAGGACGGACAGCTATGATTAGACTTATGAGACTGTCATCAAACTGGTTGAACAGAAACGAACAGGTCAAAATATGAGAACCGCACAAACAGAGAAACAGGCAATAGGAATTGCAGATACAAGATGAACATACACAATCCTAGAATTAGAGCAGACAAAACAACAAATCTACTGGACGTGTACGCTTTATCCAGAATTTCATGTTGCAATTTTTTTTCCCAAATTTTTGTTTCTAAAGTTTCCTCTACTCATTGTAACGAACTTTGGTATTTCTCTCCTCCAACTACCATTGTTTTGTTATGATATTTCTTGGCTTCAAACTGCAGTTTCACTGACCAAACAGAAACTACTGCAAGGGAATAGCCAAGGCAGTAACCCCTAAGGTTTTTCAAACACTTATGAATGGCTGTTACCTGTACTGGCAAATTGCAAATCTTAGATGAAGCATTTGGCCCATTCAACGGTTTTCTTTTCCAAAACATACATGTACGTGTAATTTACTGGTAGTGTGTACAAACATGTGTGCTTTCTTTCATGTCAGTTTGCAACAACCTGACCTCCAATACCCAAGATAATGAGATGAACCATTCAATTAAACCGAAGATCTGCTATCAAACTCCACAAGCCCCTGTAATACTGCTGATGATGGTGCTGAATCACACAGTTTACATGGCTGCTGTATCATTCAGCGCAGAAACATGGAGGATGTAAGATAAAACGTGTACAAATGTTATTCACTATAAATTACCAGCATGAACTTTAATTCCTGTTCTGAGTCTCTCCCCTGAGAGTCTCATTGTGAATATATTTTGCTTTGTTTAATATCTTTCAGCCACGCTTCACAAACATTTATGTACTCCCATTCATAATTTGCTTTTCCTGAAACTACCCTTATTTATTTACACAGCGAAAAGGTAATAACATTCTTGCGTGTATAAAAACATATTGCCGTTTTCTCCAAGCCTTACACACGAATACATGTATAAGAAATTAAGGTGGAAAGCTTGCGGTAGCACCAAGCACGGCATAGCATACCGCAAGCCTTCCGCCTTAGTTGTCTGTCACCATGAATAGCTTGAAATCATTTAAGAAATTAGTCATACAGAGTTCAGTGCATTTACACGTCACAACTTGTGTTTAGAAAATTGCGCATTTTGCTAATCAAAAGAAATAACAATATTGTCTAACTTCCCCAAACTAATACAAGTACAGTATATAGCCTACATGTGCTATACTGTATACATACAGTACATGTACATGTATCAGTACATGCATGCACTGCTTAACCTGTTAACAGACAGAAAGTCCATGTATATGTACATATGAACATTTCACTTCAGGTCCTCCTAGTACGTACACTGTACATGTATATGAATTCATGCATTTTGGACTAATACATGTATCTGATGTACATGTAAATGGCACAGGCATGTACATGTGTACCACTGCATGTTCTACCGTATGTTGAGGTGTGGATGCACATTTATCATTAGCCTTTTTTTTCGAGTTAAAACCAGACAAACACTAAATGTGCTCCATTTTTAGGCCAAGGTAACCCTCTTTTCAAGTCAGTGCAAAAGTGTTCCTTTTTTTTATTTAAAAGGTAGCGCATGGCTCAGTAAACAGAAGCAGATGGTAGACCAAGTTAGACAAGACTGTTACCTCTTAGACGAGGACAAACACTGGGTTTTTCTCTCCCCCCCTTCCCTCCCCTCTCTTCTCCTCCTTCTTCTGAACAAATGGGGGGGGGGAATGCCTGGGCCAGACACACTCAGCATCCACCAACAGCTGTCTTAGAGCGTGTCCGGCCCACCCTCGAGACCCCCCTCCCAAACAATAATTCCAATTCCCCCAAGACAAGTCATCCGGGAGTTACCGTCTTTTTTTTTTTCCCCCACCCGAGCCAAAGAGCCAAATGAATTCAGACTTGGGTCAGACCAAACAGTTTCGTCTGCAGCCCCTTGCTGACAAGAGATTTTCTGGTTAGTCGGTCCCCGACAACAAGGGAATTGAGACGATTACAGGCTGTAATTATTGCCTTGATGGGGGCTGAATAGTGTTCTCTTTGCTGGGGAAAGCGGATTCATTTCAGAATTGTTATTTTAGTCCTCTGTTTCAGATGATTGGCAGCCACGAGTGACAGCTTTGATCACAAAAGGTTCGCTCGCATTCAGTGAACGCATGTTGCTTGATAAGAAACCTGTAGGTACATGTACATGTATTTCTTTTATTCTCGATTCCTTTTAATTTCGTAAATTGCAGTTGACCTAAGTCTGATGCTCATGTTGGAGTGTACAGATGAGAAATTTCATGATAGTGTGTAATGGTATGGTTGAATCAAAGAGTGTCACAAGGTTTTGGGCTAATCTTGGAAGTCGAAGAGGAAAATTAGTTCCTTTTTATAAAGGCATTTAGTGCTGAAATAAAAAAACACAATGGTGCTTTACGACGGCCACATCAAAACACATATATGTACATCTTGACTTCATTTTCAGATAGGATTTCCCCCAATAGGACATCATGCTTTAAGCTTGCTTGATCTTTAGCTACCTTTAATCAAACAAGATTTCATGAACTTTAAATTGCACCTACATGTGGTGAGCCAGGGTGACGTTTCTAAAAAATTCAACCAATGATAAAACTTGTCAGCTGCTGGTAATGGCACCATCTCCATCTTCAAATCTTTGCATTCTATGAAATGAAACAAATGTGAATTGAAGGCAAAAGACTGAACCCACCTTAAATCTTCCAGAAGCACGTCCTTGCTCTCTGACATTGATGTGAAGGACGGTGGAGTCATCATTATTGAGGTAAAGGAAGGATGGAGGCTAGGGTTGGGAATGGCAACTGAGGTTGGAAGCATGGTAGGCATCATGTGGTCCTGTTTCATCTCGTCGGCTTGGCTGGTGCGGGGCAATGCCTCCTCTTTACCATGGCCACGCTTTGGAACAACCAATGACATGGCCTCAGTCTGCTCGTGTGAGTTGGACTGATGCACGGGCGCTTGACTGTGCTGACTCTGGGAAGGGTTGGATCGCTTGTTGGGCATGGGTACAATAAGAGAGGCGGTCCGTGCAGCTTGCTGTAGTACTGAATTGGACGTTTCGGACAGTGTGCTTTTTGGGTGGCTGGAGCGAGGTTTGGTGTTGTTGTTATTGTTGTTGACCACCCGACGCTCTTCAACTTCAGTGAATCGATCGATGACTGAATCTACAGTAGTGGACATGGCATTCGTCAGTTGCTGTTTGAGAGAGTTGCGCAGTTTCTGGTGGCTCTCTCTGGGGATGGTTCCATTTAAGCCTCTCCTGTGGACAGGCTGACTTGCTCTTTTGGCTTGCGTCATCTCACACTTGCGAATGGCGGTCATGGTATCTATCGGTTCGTTCAAATCATCTAGGTCATCTGATGCATCAGAGAGGCTGCTGTTGTCCTCTTCATAGAGATCAAAGTACTTCTCTTGCAGGACATCCAGCTGCTGCTGCAAGTGACTCAGCAAGTACTTCAGGCGCCTCCGTTCCTGCCGTCGCACCTGCTTGACTGCACTGCTATCCTCCTCCGACATCTTCTGCTGTTGAGGCTGGGCCTGCTTGCGTTTGGGCCTCGAGACCTCCAGCGCAAAACTGCTTCCCTGGCTGGACTGAGGGCAAGACGGTGACTGGCGCATGGATGTGATGATGTTCTCTACTCTGGCCCTTTTGGCCTTGACACTGTCTTCTTTCAGAGGATTGGGGCTGACTTCTCCATCCGGGCTTAAGTTACCAGGGCTCATGTTGCCAGGGCTCATACTGCCTGTACTTATGCTGCTGTTTCCATTACACTTTACCCGCTTGGCTGAGTTGTTGTCAGGGATTGCCGATGCATCATTGGCACTCCCATCCATTGTTTCAAGTTCATCCGATGATAAATCTGTCCCTTCATTCTCTGAGTTCTCATCATTCCTCCCCACTGAAGTATCCAAGTCTTCAATCTCCTTTGCCTTGGCTTGCAGCAACTGTGACATGATTAGTGGAGAATTACTGGAGTTCTCAGAAGGTGGTGTTGTTGACCCGTTCTGAACTTTCTTGCTATTCTTCAGCAAAGTCCGCAGCACGTCAGAGTTGTCTACCTCAAAGCCTCCGCCGTTGGTCACACTGGCACTATTTTTATTGGAGTGATGGGCATGAGTGCCTCTAGGTACACCCACATCAACTCGCCGTCTCTTGGACATACGAGAGTTGTAATCGTCCACCTCTGTCGACATTGGTACTGATTTTAAAAGGAAGTTATTGCCGAAGTTTTTTCCAGCTTTATTGCACTGAGATTAGATTCTGATTTTGCCAGCAATGAGAATGCTTTCGTGGAATGTGCGTGCACCGTTTCCTTCTGCGACAGGAAGTTAACTCAGCAGCATCTTGCTGCCATCATCAACTGTGAACAAAAAAAACAGAAAAGAAAACCATGAGTGGACTGAACATCTGTAATTTTGTAACAAACAGGAAACCTGAGCGGAGTTTTACTGAGAAAACTGCACAGAAGTCGCTTAGTTTGGGACACTTTAATGAGAAGGAAAATCATGCACAACATCACACCAACTCAACAGAAAAGAGTGCATGCTATGCTTCCCTGTTTTTTGCTGAGGAAATGTGTCATTTTAATTTTTTTAAGAATAATGAATGATAAAGAAACTGAAATATACATATAATTACTCTAAATCCTTGAATTTCTTGTGAAGTACACATAAGAACAAACTGCACATGTTCAGGCATCTGTGAACATTTTTAGTTTCACATTAGCAAACTCTGTCTTTTGGCGCAAGTGAGAATGTTATTCTATACAGAAGTGGGAGTTCTGAATGGTACAGTTGCGTGCATATGATTGAAAATGAGACTGTTTTTCACCTACATGTACATGTAAATAAAGCCACACTGTCAATCAAGGTGACTCAAAAACTTGGTTTGGCATACTGTACCATTCATTAAGTGCTAAGAAGTTGAGTTTGAAGTACATGTACCGGTAAGTCAATCATGATTCATTTTGAGGATCCATGTACACGTATGTATTGCATGTGCACTGTGTATACTTACACGTAAAAGTGGGGTAAGGGAGTATGGAGACTTACAAACTGAAAAAGGAAAAAAAATCTGGCGACCGTCTGACTTACTCGGCGTTTCAACCATGACCTAAACCCATGGAGTGGTCCACCTCCCACAAATTGCAGCCCAGTGACATCACTGAAATTTCACAGAAATAATTTCAAAGAATCTCTCCTCAGATTAACATTTTGCACATTAAGGCTGTGTCTTAGTCTTGACTGCAAATCACAGGTGTCGGTGGAAAGTGGACAGAGTCACTTGCCAGTGGCTACCGCAGAAGCTTGGGTTACTATGTGAAATTGGTTATGGAGTTGTATGCAGTATGCATACTGCCGTCTTGGTACCGCTCTATGTACTGTGCGTATGAATGATGAAATCGGACAAACATTAATAGTGCGCTGAAAAGTCCACTTTCACTGCTGTTTCAATCATTCAGTTGACCAGAATGAATTAAACAATACACAGGGGTACCTGTACATTGATACTTGCACCGGCATCCTTAGGTTTAAGCTGCCAATGACAAATCAAAGTTTCCATCTAAAAAAAAAAAACCAAGTGAGGTGAGAAACCTCACTTATGTAAATAAAAATCTTCGTGTCAAAGTTTTTAAATACACATGACTCATATGTGTAAGCAATGACACGAACATTAAGTTATGTGTACAAATTGCAATATTTAAGACAATGCCGGAAATCTGTAACAGTGAAGCTACATGTACATTAGAATTACTACACAAACTACACTACTGTCTACTAAGTAGAAAAGCGACACAGCTGTTTACAGAGTACACTGTAGCTACGGTACATACATGTACATGTGCATGATATTTGTTGATGGTGTTACATGTACATGTACATGTAACACCATCAACAAATTTCACAGCACACCAATCACCAACTCCCTGAAACTGGGCCCAGTTTCTTTTTTTTTTTTTTTTTTTTTTTTACAAATGTTCAGAAACCAGCAAGTTTCTCTTGGAACAATGCCCAAGACTCATCCATGTTAACATATACATGTACATTTACAATTCCTAGCAAAGTGGGCACTGTCAGCAACTTTAAGCAAACTGATCATCAGCTCCCTGATATTGGCCAGAAGTTTTCCCACAAATGTCAAGAAATCTGCGGGTGCCTCTTTGAATTACATTGATACTGTAAGATCCAGTTCCCTCTTTTTTCAAACAGTAACAGAACAGAAACAAATAAGGAGTTGCCTGACATACATGTACATGTACTTGTGGTAAGAAAAACATCTGTAGTTTACCTGTATATCATTCATAAAATTCTCGACCAAGTCACTCAGAAATGAAAATAAACTAAATCCTTTGATGGCAATTCACATAATTTGTATCACTTGAACCAAATTAATCCAAATGTGGTTGGTGCCAAGATTCCTGAAGGCAAACATCGACCACAGACGAAAGCAATGGCTACTTACATGTAAAATGCAATGTTTCTTTCCAAACAAAGTACAGAAAATATGCGGAGCTACTTTTACTCCCCGAACAGAAACCCTCTAACTTCTACTTGTACTGGTCTACTGCACACATACATGTACAATGTACTAAACTATTCAGATGAGTTCAACGAGGCACCAGTAGCAAGTAAGTCCATTTTGCCGTACACAGGAACTGAAATACTCCAGATAGCAAAACAGAAAATGTCATGTAGTCAAGGCATGTGTATGCACATGTCTATAAGGTAAAACCTGTAACACATTCATGGGTGTGACACAACGTTTACATCAATGAAATACCAGAACGCAGAAACTCACATACCGAGTATGAAAACAACTTAACAATCATAGATCCACAATAGATTCTTACTGTGCCGTGGTGTTTCCTTTCTTGAGGCTTCCTTCCCACGCTTCAAGTTCAACCCGCCAAGTCCATAAACCAAGCGCCCGGCAAGCACAAAGGCCAAATACTACCGATTGTTAGCCAAGTCCCGCCTCACTGAAGAAGAATACAGCTCTAATCAACCCCTCTGTCAGCAGAATGACCGGCGATATCAGAGAGAAATCTAAGAATCAATAAGCCCTTTTTTTCTTTCTCTCTTCCCCAAGAGCGGTGCATTAAGATTACCACGTAGGCTTTCTTTTCAGCTGTCAAACATCCGGTATGAAGTGTCTTTCAGTTGGTCAAAGTCTTACCCCGTATTCCTGTTTTTCAGAAGTGCGTCAGTCATGAACACCAGGAAGTGGTGACCAACTTGTGCACTTCCTTTTTGTTTCCAAAAGGAAAAAAAAAGACTGTATGGAAGATTCACTGGCGAACACCGAAAAGAGAGGAACCGGGAGTAAGAGACGTCACGTTAATCCAGTGGCCCAAGGTGAATTGGTTCAGCAGCCCGTAGACGGTCGCCATGCAAAAGAGGATATGATTATCAATTAAAATCAAAAGGGGCGAAACACTGAATGGGCTTTTGAATGCAAGCGAAAGAGTGGATGGACTCTCTTCTCTCTCTCTCGGGCACAGCAGTCACCGTGTCTGCTTGTGTACATGTGAGCAGTGTGTACACACGCAGACACCGCCGCAGTGTTTTCTTCCAATGCCAGCTGTTGTGGCCGAGTGCCACTTCTATCTCACCTTGGCAAACAAACGTGACTTGAACTTTGAGCTACACCAGACTGGCAGCGAAAAAAGCAACACTCCGCACCCAGCACTGGCTTGAGTTGTACCATCCCAGCAGTGGTTGGTTAGTGTCTGTCTCTTCTTTATGTGAATGCATGTATATGACTTGCTGCTGAGTATAGTCATCTATATATATCCCGGATCTGAGAATATCACAGGGGCCCCAGCTGAAGGACTTGCCATATGCTGCCAATAATCAATCAAGCTTAAAGAGCCTTACTGTTAAAAGAGCCCGGTGGTGGTACATCGACCAGCAATATCGATAACGCCACACCTTACCACACAACTGCCATCGATATTAAATCGTACCACAATATGTAAGCCGCCGGACAAGAGATGATGTTACTGCAGAGAATATCTTCAAATAATGATGACGTTGAAAGAAAAAAAAAGAAAGACAAGGACAGGGCAGGCTTTGTGTGACACACACCGTGCTGTGCATCAACACTGCATGGCTGTACCCTTCACACATGCGTAACTGGCTGTCTTCACGTACGTGTACTTGCTATTTCCTCTTCCCCCCAATCTGGCCCCTGCTTTCATTTTACTTCTATTCTATTGGCCGAGGGAGGCTCGACTTCAAGGAATATTGAGCAGGAATAAGGAAGAGTGTGATGTCACAAAAGCAAAGCTCCACAAAGGAAAACCACCGACCTTGAAAGTGTAGCCTGTTTACCTGTAAACCGCCCCAAGCGAAACAAAGGCCTTTATATGAACACAGTACAGACAAGTCTTGGTCATTTTGGGTCATGGCAAATCTGGCTTTCAGCAACTCCTACTTTTTTATACACGTACATGAGAACTTAGCCTTTTATGCACAAACTTTCAACTCAGCCATACTCAGAATATTTAAGATGCCAACTTTTATCAGAAAGCAAATGAGAAAACAGAAATAATGGCAAACAGAACAAAAAGTAAAAAAAAAGTGAAGCTCAAACAGAAAGTATACACATGCACAATGTACATGTACACACAGGAGAGTGTCCCAGTACAAATACAAAAAAGAGTGCATTGATCACAAGAGAACCACTTATTAAGCATTTTTAAAGCTACTGACTATTACTTGAAGAACAAAGATCTTTGTGGAAATGAAATAACATCACTGAGTATTTAAAGATTGTTGCAGTATTCTATAATAGTATGCACGTATTTAACAGTGCAGTCTGTGCCCTAGAAATCTTCTTAAAATTCTTTCTAAATAAAACCTTTGTTCGAATTTTAATAACAATAATTGCTAAAGATTAAAACATTCTCTAGTGACTGATTAAGCTGTTACACATCCCTTATTGAAAACAATTTACCGTCTTAAAAGAAGATGGACATCCCCTCCAGGTTACCTGTGCATCAAATAAATTGTTCTACCGGTATTTACTTTTTTTTTTCTTAAAATAGCCCCCACTCACTTAATTGGACAAACTCCACTTAATTAAAGGAATCTAACTATAAACCAATGATATTCATGTAATTTTAGATATGTTATCATTTAACAATTGAAATGGGCATGGACATCTACAGTGTATGTCCACAAATAATACCAATCTTGGTGACCCTATCGATAACCACCAATCAGTTACTTACTGAAAGACTACTGATGCTATTTGAAATTTGAAAAGACGAAAGGAAGGGGAGACAGATTGTCGAAGGAGTATTATGCTACTTGTGAAAACTGCAGCCTGGTTAGACTGGCAGAACGACGGGACTGGGTTGGGGGGGAGGGGGAGAAGACCGAAGGTAACAGGAACAAAGAGCAAACCTTGAAGTGTGTGAGGAGCGACAATTGTGCACGCTCAGTTTGAATGATCTGCAGCCACCACTGGCAACAGCTGCACACGAAACCCTGATCAAACAAGGCTCCTGGAGGCAGTTTCATGTACGTAGTTACAGCTAGCTATCTCCATAACAGAAAATATAGACCGCCTTCCCAAATTAGACAAACCAACATGTGTAGATAAGAGCCTCTATGCAAAAGGTGCACAAAATCACTGGGTTGAAGGTACTTAATTAAGTGACTAAATGAGACGTTGGTTTTACAAAAAAAAAAGCCTGAAAGAGAATTTGCAAACCACAACTCACCACAACCAACACTAGAACAACTTTAAAAGTTTATCAGCCAAGCTCACAAATTCTGCAATTTGAGGAGAAGCCTTGCCAAATTTTAGGTTTGTTCATTGTGAGACAAAAACAATTAAGGAATTACACAATTCAAATTGGTTAAGGGACCTATGTAAATGTACATGTACCAGTGATCAGCCTAACTTGGTAGGCTTTACTATACAGAACTTAAACCTTTGTCTTATTCAATTTTTTAATCTCAGGGTAAACATACTGTATTTAATACTACATGAACCATATGGCTTTGCTACCAGATCCAAAGTACTTCATCCTGTGCAAGTATGCCAATGTCCTCTTATAAGCACTGCCAAGGAAACAGATGATTCCGGCAACTGAATTGTCATTAAATAAAAACACAAACGTTCTTGCAACTTATATGTACATGTCCATGTCCCACAAATACACAATATTAGTAGTGAAGCTTACAGATACACGTTCATGAGTAGATGTATTTTTCCCAATATGTTCAAGTTTGGCCATATTCTACCGGTATTTCATGAAATCATTAAACTACCAACCTGCATCATTTGCACTTGGCTTCATTCAGGTTCTGCACTGCTTGACAGTGTACTTCCCACTGGCATTTGACTATCTTGACTGAAAATAAGTTAAGTCCTATTCCTTAATGCAAGAGCTTCATACTTACATGTACAATGTATAATCATTTTGTGAGAAATAGCACCAGGACTGTTTTCATAAATTAAGGTACATGTCTGTTCACTCATATTTGCATTGAACGTCAAAAGCACTAGGAATAAATATATGCACATGTACATGTAAGTCACCTACAGCATGACACTGTAACGGATGACATTAAAAATCCTACCCTTGTTAGTTTTCTTTGATGATTAAAAATTCATTCAAACCTCATCAGTTGTTGCACACTTGTCTTTTGGATTGTGTCAAAACATGTACCGGTACATGTACATGGTACGTACACTGTACTTGTCTGCTGAGGCCTACGTCGGTAACAAACAGTACTGTGTTTAAGGGTTTTAATACGGCAATAAAAATATGTATTTTTAACCTGGCATACATTGCTAAAAGTGCAAGACAGAAGATATTCTCAGATATAAAACATACCCCTATGTTTCTAATGTTCAAGGTTGGCTACATTTCATGTTTGAGTAGTCATGCATATCATTCAATCATTAAAATATATGTACCTATAGGCTTTGTTTACAGGAGCCTTACTTCAAAGTAACCGTGGGCCTTTCATTATTTTGACTTTCAAAACAAGTTGATTGCTTTTCTTGATGTTGGAAATGCAAACTGTACATTAACATTCGTTGAATATTGCCAGTGGTTTCGGCCAAACTTTCTTCATGATATTTTTAACATTTTGGGCAAATTTAAGGACAACAATAGTTTGAAAAGTTATCAATAACTTTTCACCAATATGTTCATGAAATAAAGTGTTATTGAAATGACCTTAGGGGAATTCTATACATAGGGGGTCCAAAAGTGACATTTTGGTGTTTCTGTTACACCTGACGAAAAGAATTTAACATGAAATTGATTTCAAAGTACCGGTATATTTACAAGTGCTTGTTTGGCAGGTAATTTGTATTAATTAATAACTCCCGACAACTGAAGAATAAACTTCTAAACTTACAAAATCATACATCAGATGTGACAGGGTCACCAAAAAATCGCACCCTAGATGTACAGAATGACCCTGTTGCAAAATCCTATCGTCACGTACAATGTATGTTTTTTTTCTGTTAGTCAAATTTCTTTGCTACTTTTCTGTTTCTACATGTACCATCTCATACCAGTACAATTATTTCCATATTTCCTCAGAGCGTAAAAATTTTTCCAAAAAAAAGGCTACTGATAACCAGTGATGCAAGTGTGTCCCAGGGTCTGTTCCAAAATGGTTGACTACCTACCATATCCTAGTCCAACCATCAAACGTGTGAGTAACATTGGTTGGGCCACATCATCATCATTAACCATCATTTTCATTCAGACTTCCCCCAGCTGTACTGCACATTCAATTGCCATTTTACTCGGCATTCATTCACTCTTGAGAAACAACGAAATTGAAGTGACATCTTCACCTAATATTAGTACGTGTACATGTATCTGGGTTCAATAGTGCAACACATACTACACAAATGCCTGAACAAGAAAAGTTCATGTATTAGATTATTCTCCTTAAAATTTTTCAAGTTTTCAAAAGCATGATTTGTGTGTGTGTGGAACAGATAAAATAAGATTTTACAGTGTTGAAGTAAAAGGGCAGAAACTGCTTATCCAACCTTTTTAAGCTCCACGTCAACTTTATAAACTTCAATCTCAACCTTTGTTTGAGAGAAAAAGGTAATTTGATTCATCAAAAATGTGTAAAGATAATAGACTGTACAAGGCATCTTCATTTCAATTTCTCCACTACCTGACATGATGAAAAGTCATATGGTTGGACATTTGACCAAATGCCAATTTGTTTTCTTAAATTCCAATTTTATCTTCATAATGGTCTCAACCGATGGAAGGTTCTCACTTCTACATGCTCTTAATGGTACATGAGCATGAACTCGTACATAAGGTAAATATACGTGGGTAAAATTAACAATTTTCTCCAAATTGTACACTGCCAGGCAGCTGGTCTATGATGACTCAAATTAATGATACGAAAAAATACCTCAGTGTTGATTATGTAGATAAGACAGCTTGGGTTGACTTATTAATTTGCTCTTTCCCTTTTGTTAGGCTGCTATCACCTAACAGGCTTTCAAAATAAGCTTGAAGAGAAATGTTTTACATTCTAGTATCTTTGAGATTTCTTTAATCATTAACCTGCACGGACATAAATT